TGATAGAAAGTGAGTAACGACGTCGCAAGAAACCAGCCTGGAAAACAAAAAGTACATGTGAAACTTTCATGGCGAGAAAATCGGGAATCCTCTTCATTTTGATGATTGTCGGATGACTTGTTTCTTACGTGTTTTTGAGTAAGAGATACCGGTAGATGAAGACCCGCCATGAAAAGAACGAATGACAGGAACTGGAAAGTGAACTGGCTTTGGAACTTTGATCTCAAATAAAATGGCGGAAGGTAGAAAACAGTATTGAAACTGACTAGAAAGATCCGTGCTATTGGCCTCAACAGACTTTTAAAGATTGAAAATTATCATTATTTGACTGATTGATTTTTAGCACCATGACTTAGTTAAGGTTATCGTGTCACTGCAGGCAGGATCGCAGTGAAGTCGACACGCACCTCACCCGTGAAGTACTCCACCAACATGTCGTTCGGCGAATCCTTCCAACACATCATACTGCACAGGATCGTCTACCACATCCAGCAGATCATATCGAAAGGTGCTGGTGCCCTGGCTTTCGTTTCGCATACTCTTTCATTATTTTCGTTGTTCTAGTCAAATCTAATAACTAAATAATTCAGTCTAATTATCGTAAACTTTTGACTGATGTTGTTGTCACCTTTTTGTTTATTATTCTTTCTGTATTATTTTTATTACTATATCAAATTGGACATATTTTTCTGCTAAAATAGTGCTAAGATTTAGCAAAAAAAAATAAAATAAGAAAACAAAAACTTATACATTGTAGGAGCGCAACAATGTTGTGTACGTTGGCGGGCTGTTTTAATTTAATCAACATTTTGAAACTTCTGAGAATTAAATTTTTGTTCTGCATCTCAAGTTGTTATTGCTTGCAATTCTTTGGTCCGTTTTTATACGATTTTAAAATGTTTTCATCTCTTGTAGGCAATGTTTATATAATTAGCGAATAATATGCTGTCTAGATTTTAATTATTTATTGAATTTTTCGAACTCTTAAAACTCATGGAATTAATTGCAAGCCGTTAAATAACAGTCTCTTCCTCCTTTTATTGAAACGTTTTATTCAACTGCTTGAGTTCATGATTGGACGTCTTCACGCCAACCAACAGTGTATTCTTTCAATTGACTAATAACCTTGAACAGTGTTCAGCGGGGTGGGCAACGAGAACGACATGACCTTTGAGGTCTGGTGCAGGCGCTACCAGCCTGTCGTGTGTGACGTCCTCGTCGCCAAGGTCAAGGACATTTTTCAAGTTTTTAATTTCGTCAGCGTCATTATCACTTTTTAATTCTTTATTAGCAATAATCTATCAATATCGTATGATAACGTAATGATAACGTGATGACGACAGTCCAGTCGCGCTTTTAAATTCAATCACTAATGCACGCCACCTCCATGAGCTTCATGAAGTCGTCGCTGACATCATGCGGTCGATCACGTCACAGGCCTATTTACCTTTGACCTCCGTGTATCAGATGCTAATCCATCGACCTTCCAGTGACTCGAGCTTCATTGACCTCTCCCTTCCTCTCTTCAGTAGCTCCAAAGAGGGAGGCCATCTTGCCACTTCCCACGATCAGGGCGGGGTTAGAATACGTGGATGGGGGTTATGAGGATGATGATGATGATGAGCTGCATGGTAGTAACTTTATTAGAACTTTTAAATTTTCGTCAACCAACTTCAACGTCAAACTTGTGTCTGACTTGTCATTTTGTTGAGCCTAATTTTTCCCATCATCATCTTCACTATTTTTTTCCAACTTCCTATTTCTGTTGGCACTATCGTCATCATCAACAACAACAACAACTACTACTGCTAGCTGTTAACACTGTTGTCATCTTCAACTCCACTTTCAACTTTGCTTCCCTCGCCGTCTTCATTATTTCGCTCATCATCATCACACCATCTCAGTCAGGGGTATGTGGCTATTTGAGGCTGAGGTTGGACTATGAAACGAGAACCAGAAAGGTGCGTTCATGTGTCGGTCTGTTGTAACATTTGCTGTTGTTTTTTCGTTCGTTTGTTTAGTATGTGTGTTTGCTGTTGTTTGTTTGTTTAATATGTGTGCTTGTTGTTGTTTGTTTGTTTGTTTATTATGTGTGTTTGTGTTTGTTAATTATATGTTTGTGTTGTTGTTGTTGTGTTTTTTAATTTGTTCTTTCAGTATCATAATTATTTTTTTCTCGTCGGCAGGTGCGTTAATAGTATGATTGTTTTGGTTGTATAAGCTCACATTATGATCTGCCATTGTCGTCGTTGTTGTTGTTGCTACTTTACTACCATTTGTCAATAAGTTTGTTGTTCATTTTTGTTTTTCTTTCATTCGTTCACTTTCATTTGGTCAGTCTGTCCATTTTTGGTTTTAATATTTTATCAACTATAATTTATATCTGTCTTTGATGATGATGGTGATAATAATGATGATGATGATGTTGAGGACGACGACGATGATGATGATGACGATGATGTTGATACAGTTGACTGCATTTTCTTCACAAACGATGTTGCATGGACTATCTGGCTCAAACGTCATCGTCTCCTTGACCTTGTCACGTGTCTGTGGCCTTCAGGTTCAATCAACTGACAGATTCATTTCGACATCATCATCTCTCTCTCTCTCTCTCTCTCTCTTTCTCTCTTTCTCTCTTTCTCTCTCTCTCTCTCTCTCTCTCTCTCTCTCTCTCTCTCTCTCTCTCTCTCTCTCTCTCTGCCATTACCATTTTCTCATAGTTGTTATCATTACCATCTTTATCATTTCATTATCATCTTTCATTCTTTCATTATAACATAACATGGACTACCTATTTTTATTGGTGCAGGCAAACCAACGGTCCATTTAGTGTTAGTAATGCATGGAAATATTTAAGAGTTATGAGTTTTAGAGCTCCAAATTATTTGTCTAACAGAGGTTTTGAAATTCATGAGAGTAAAATAAAATTAATAGCGATAATCAATTTAATGATTCATTCTAAAAAAAGTTTTGCCGACTATGAAGGCTTTACCAGAAAATACGAACACGAATATTATTTCTTTATAAGTATTTCTTTGCTTTCTTGTTAAATCTCTACACATCGAGTTTGTAGCTTTTCTTTCTGGTTCGCGTACCTCCATGCGTTTTATATTAGCAGAAATGATTTGCTGACACTACTGAGAAGAAATTCGAAAGTGCAGTTGAGTTTTCACTGAATGGTTGACCTTGCGGAAGGAGGAATTAGTTATTGCCACACTTCGCCATCATGGCTCCCAGCACATCACCTCAATGTCACCATCTCAGCCTCGGTCATTATCATTTTCATAATTCGTGTTATTTTTCATTATTTTCTTGCGCCGAATTTTTTAAACGTCGGAGTGGCGTGCATTGCTTAAGCTGCAACACTTGAGAATAATAATCTCTGCATTGAAACATCGTTTTGAAAATGAATACAAAGATAGGATTTTTTTAAAATAATCTGGAAACATGCTTTGTTAAAATTCTGTTGCTATTTTTGAAATGAAAAAAAAATCTGAAACGAAATTGATTAAATTCAACAAAACATTAATAGAAACGAACAAACAGAGTAAAATGATTGTCATATTAATATCTGCTGTATGATGCAACTCTTCAGAAAGCAGCCCTCCAGTTACTTGGCCACCACCTGCCACTCAGTAACTACTTGCAGACGGGTCTCAACGTCTACCTCACAGCTTCCTTATCCTTCCTACCCATAGGGGTTCGTCGTTGTTGTGGCAGAATTTTGTGCTGCTAATCGTCAGTCCTTGCCATCATTTTTTAGACTTTTCTTGTTTTATTTTGTTATTTCTATTATTATTATTTGTATTTATTGATTTTATTGTTTTAAGATGAGATTGTTTGTGATTAATTTTTGTGATTTGTTTTATTGTGATTTTTTTCTAATATCTTTTGATTATTATACCGCAACTGCTAATTGAAGTCAACGTTCATTAAAGTTTTCAATTAAGGTTTCAAATGGGATGCCTGATGTACATTAACAAACTGGCGTCAAATTTAAAACAAGACACCACCAAGTTGTGTTGTTGCAACTGATTTTCTTCAACAGAACGAGAAATCAACTCAAACCGTGACGAAGACCTTCCACCCCGACCTCTTCTCCAGCTTCGAGTTTGCATGTCCATTGTTCTGGAAGAATCCTTCGTCTCGAGACAACAAGCCGATGACTCTGGCGCACATCTTCAACAATGCCTACCTCCTCATCAAGGTCTTCCATCAAAATACCGATGCCACTGCTGGTTGGTTAGCTGGATGGAAAGTTGCTGCTGCTGTTGTTGTTGTTCGCTGTTGTGCTGTGTAGGTGTGTTGTGTTGTGCTGTGCTGCATGTGCGGGTACTGCGAAAGGCAAATAGTAGTGATGATAGTGGTGATGCTCGTATAATGCTTCATTGTTGTTCGTGCTAGAGATGATAGTTATAATAGTGGAATTGATGATATTAGTGATTATAATGAAGTGATTGCGATGACGTTTCTTCATGCAAGCCTGGCTTCAATTCATCACACCAACACCGCTTCTTCACCACCAAGAATCGCTGCTTGGATTGGATGTGAATTTGAAGGGGGTTCCCATCAACCCGCTGAACAAGGCAAGCGTACTGACCAACAACTTCAGCGTCACCAATGCGGCGAGTGCAATGAGTGCCCCCAGCTACGTGAACGATGTCCTGCTTGGAGTCGTGATCGTTCCTCTGACCAACTTCCCCATCAAGTCATCTGGTTGGTTTCCATAGATTTTTCCATGCATCACTTTTCATATGTTTAGTTTTGATTTGTCTTGCTTCAATGCTGGACACCTTGTTTCGTTCGATGGCGCATTATTTTATTCGTAATATCTTACCATTTGATTTTGCTCCTTTTTTTTCATCAATGTCTGCTACATGTCAGTGATGAGGACATTATTCAATTAAATTAACTATTTCTTAATTCTATTGATAAATAATCTAACACGAGTATAACAAGCAAATGCACCGACAAGTATTTATACGCTGTTAGCCAACCTTGAAGTTCTATTCAACACGCAACTGAATATGTGGTTAATTAAGCGATGAATGCGCAGCTAATGAAATAAATAAGAATTTAAACCATTGAAAATAAAGTAAGAGCTTGAATATATTCGAGCATGTGAACGTGCGAACGTACAACATGCCGACTGGCAGGTCTTAGAGGCTGGTTCCCCATCGAATCCTCGGCAGCCTATAGCGATCTCGAGCGTAGGGACTACGTCGGTGGCAGCAAAGCGAAGGTCGTCCTAACCGGTGACGTCAACAATGTTGTTGGAGGTGTCGAGTTGATGCTGAAGATTCCTTCGAAGAACGAGAGGGAGGCGGTGCTCAGTGTCGGTCGGAGTCTCGGATGGTCGCCCGTCAACCAAGTCGCTGATGCCAGCTTCTTCACTGAAGGTTCCTACTTTTTCGTTCTGCTGGTTTCGCTTTTCATAGTTTTGTTCAATGGCCTAACATTTACTTCCGGTCAATATTTTCATATATTTTTCTTTGAAATTAGGAAGTTGATGTTCTTCTTCACTCACGCTTGTGTCAACATGATGTTTAGTTTGAAGAGCTCATTCTATTTTCATCTTAGATGTTAAACTTAAGCAGGATTATTTTGTTTTTATGGTGCAATTTACAAAACAATTGGTTCTGCAAAAATTATTATCCAAACGTTGGAGAATTGAGAGTTCAGTTTAAGAAACTTTTTTTACCATAAAACTGGATTAGTTTCAGCCTATGACCAACGTGCAACCATTGATCTAATTCTCTCCAGAAAGGAACTCATTAAAGAAATTTAACGTGAGCATCACCATCAACAACCTCATCATCAGCCCCAAAATGTTGCCGGCCATCGGCGCATTCGCACACAGCGACATCAACTCGGACGGCCACATGAACGCCGACGTCACGGGGAAGTGCAGCAACCTGTTCAACATCGTGGACAGCACGGAGGAAGGGAACGTGGACACTGCATGCGGCATACCGCTGCACACCAGGTGCTACCTCAGATACAAGTTCTTCGATCAAAGTATGCTCGTTCTTTTTATTTTGTTGCTCATTTATTTTATATTTTTATGTATATATATATATATATATATTTTACACTCACTAATTTATTCTGCAAAATTTTCATTTTAGATTCACTTTCCTCATACGAAGTGGTTCGATAATTTATTTTTTACATTAAGTGCACCAACTCTCACATACTCTCACCTAGTTATTCATTTTTTCTCTAATTCTCGTGAAGTCGTAATACAATTTTTTGAACTTCAAAATGGCCTCCACGTACGACCTTCAAATGACCTTCAAATGGCCATCCATCAGAGGTGAGCATGTCCAGACTGTTCCCGATGTTCATGGTTGGTGAACAGCTGTTTGTGACCGGCGCCTACAGGGAGAAGTTTAGGATTTGTTCGTCTGCAATGTTCGCATGGTGGGTGGGTCGCATCTTTTTATTGTTCTAAACTGTTATATTCATAAAAAGTGCCTGTGCGTTCAACCTTCGCGTGGTTGAATTTCTTTTAATTTCCTATTCATGCAATGATGCATTCTTTGCGTTCATACGTGGCTGCACGTTGACAACACAACGTAGAGATAAGATTGTCAACATTTGCTTGTGCACAGCGTAACATACCAATGCATTGCTAACATGAAGGTACCTGGCCGAGGAGAGGTTGGAAGTTGAAATCTGGATGACAGGGCGGGACGAAAGTGGTGCAAATAATGGTAATGAGGCAAACAACGAGGCTGGCCACGATGACGGCAACTCGAACGCAGTGAATGCTAACGAATTTCCAAAACCATCAGACCACCTGGTTGGAGCGGGGTACATCGATTTCATCGAGTTGGCTGACCTCAAGAAAGTCAAGTGCTCCATTAGGTAAGTGTGAGGTACTCCTCTGCTGTGTTTGTTAATGTGAAGTACTCGTCATGACACACCACACCATAAGATAAAACACACACGCACACACACGCACTAACAGAAACAGCAGCATGATATACAACGCCTCGTGCGACAACATCGGTGAATCCTCCTTTGATTACGTCATCACATTTGCAGACGATATCCCATCTGCCAAGTTAGATAAGGTAGTCTCCTCCATTCACCATGATCATCTTATTTTTATTTTTAAACATTACAGTCGTAATCGTCCTTAACAATGAACAGGGTCATTGTTAAGGACGGTTATCATCAGTGTCAGTCAATCGAAAATTTATCTCAATTCTGATCTTTTATTTTTTCCAAACACTTCGAAACAGATCCTGGAGTTAATATCAAAAGGATCTCTACCACCAAATCTTTTTTCCAGTGCTCTCAATCCCAATTTTCCCGATTTCAGTTTCTTGGGCCATGTTGCAACTGGGGTCGACGTTGTTGGGAGTGCATGCGCCGACATTGACCTCCTGACCGGCGCAACCAAGAAGATGAGCCAGACAGCGCCGTCGCATGAACAACCTAGCAAGAAGAAGAAGTTTGTAGATAGCAAGGATGTATTCAAGGCACGGTTGTCCATTGAGAGGGCGTATCATCTCCAAGATGTTCCAGTCAGTGGGTCAGTTTTTTCTACGTTTTTTCGATGTACTATTAATTTAGCAAAGTTTTCTTTGTGAATGTTTGTTCAACTGCATTGGTTGATTAGTTGCATGAAAAGGTGTGTTCGTCCTATGCGATGACATCAGTTGCTTTCTAATAACTTATATGATCTTTGGACATCAGTTACTTCATAACAACTTATATGATCTTTGGACATCAGTTACTTCATAACAACTTATATGATCTTTGGACATCAGTTACTTCATAACAACTTATATGATCTTTGGACATCAGTTACTTCATAACAACTTATATGATCTTTGGACATCAGTTACTTTCTTATAACTTATATGATCTTTGGGCATTCGTTACTTCATAACAACTTCATAACAACATCAGTTACTTCCTAATAACTTTTATGATCTTTTCACATCAGTTACTTCCTTATAACTTTTATGATCTTTGGACATCAGTTACTTCCTAATAACTTTTATGATCTTTGGACATCTTTACTTTACTTTCCCAATAACTTATATGATCTTTGAATGAACACGTACCCGCCAGCGTGCTTGTGGTTCCGAGTGCCTACGTGACGTACAACACGGCCGAAAGCGAGGAACCGGTCAGTAGTCACGTGATCAGCCATGATAACAATCCTGTGTGGTACCATGATAATGATGTCCTTCTCAGCAAGGAGATGCTGCTGGCCAGAGATAAGGTCCTTCACCATCTCCATCCATTATCATTCCCATCACTGGCGTTATTCTCAACATCATCATTTTTATTTTATTATTTTTTTATTTTTTAATATTATATTAGATTTTTAGTTTTATTATTATAATTTTGTAACTCGCTTCACTATTTCTGCATTTTAATATTTTACATTCATCTATCAAAAAAACACTCCTTCACTCGTTTTATATTCATAGCCGAACTCTAGTTTATAAAATAAGAAAACTAATAATTATTGTTATTATTATTATTTTATATGATAATGATAGTTAGAATAACAGTTACATTAATCACGTTAACTGGATAAATATTAATAATATTGAATTAAAATGATTTTGTGGGTTTGTGTGTGTAGTTTTATATTATTATTTTGTTTATTAAAATGAATAAATAAATTAATTAATTAAATTAAAATAAACAATGGTTATTCAAATGTCAGATAACGCGAACAGAGATTAAATGTTTCATCTGCAGAACTTAATAATAAAGGTGTGGCACAAAATTGGTGGCGACGGTGGCATTGGTGGCAATCGTAAGTCGTCGACTTCATCACATCTGAAACCTGGTTGGTCGCTTACAATGTGTTTTTTTTTTATTCCGGTGTTGTCTGTTGCTCATGAAAATTATCGATGATGGTCGTTGTTGTTGTTGTTGTTGTTGTTGTTGTTGCTGCTGCCCATTCTTAAATGCCCAGTGGGCGCTCTAGGCGAGGCATGAGCCAGTTTGCTACTGCGACCTGGTTCCTCCATAAGTTCATGAACTTGAGATGTGTGGGGCTTTTGGAACATCTAAACAGATGGGGGACATCGTCCGGATGTTTATGACAAAAGGAGTAGATGTCGTTGTGCCCTATCTATTTTTACTCTCAAGCTGTGGAGAACAATGCTAGGGCCAGAAAGGAGTTAGGCAAGGGTCCGTCTGATTGCCCTGGGTGGACATTCTTCTGATTTGTCTATTTTCGGGGTTGGTGGCGGCCATTCGTTGATCAGCATCGGCGCCAAATACGATTCGGAAGCATTTATGGCGGTGTTGCTATGGAGATTGGAGGATGTTGCCTTCAGGGATACATCCTATTGTTGATGGTGTCGGTCTCTAAATATGGTCATGCTGAAAGGGATGATGCTTAGAATGATGATGAGGAAGAAGATGGTGAGGATGAAAATGATGATGTTTTAAATCGATGAAGGTGCTTTTTAGTTTCTCTTGTTTTTCTTAAATTCAACATTATTGGATATACCTGACAGGCTGTTTCGCTTTTATGTTTAATTGGAAGGCATTATCGCTTCACTCATTAATCGTAGAACAACTTTTCAAATAAACAACAACAGCAACAACATCCACAGTCATAATGACGAGAAGAGAATGTAACCTTGCACTATTAACACATCAGACAAGTTTGCAGACAAGGTGATTGGATATGTTTCAGTTAATTTGAGACCACTGACGACGAGAAACTTCTTCAACATCTGCGGCTACTACAACATCATCGACCTGGCTGGATCTTGCAAGGGACAAATAAAAGTTCGTTCCGTCGTAATATTCTGATGCATGTTGTATTTTTCTATGTTGGCAGTAATTTGTGAGAATGCATTTTTCTATCATCAGTTACCATTTCGATTATTTTTCTACTTTGCAATTCGTCATTCTATCCGTTAAAATCCATCCGTTGTTTATTCATCCCTGTTGAACCATTTTTTTTATACATTCAACACAATGGAACCATCTTGCATGACATTTGCAGGTCTGTGTGACGCCCATGCAGTGGTCCAATGAAGCACAGCAGGTTCACGTCGTCATCGTGCCTGCTTTTTTACTTTGTGTCGACGATGTTTGACTAATAAATGACTACATTTTTTTGTTATTATCATTTTTTATCCATAAATTTAGAAGAAACTAATTTTTCGGCATGATGCTTCAAACATTATATTGCACGCAGGTCTTTATAAATTCTACAGATTCCTTCAATGGGAACTGTCGAGTTGAACCTGCCATCCAATCAAACAGACAGTGGCAGTCCCTTAGAAACCAACCAGTCTCAAAGTTATTCGTTGGATACTTCCTTCGTTGAACACAATGCAACCTTTCAAACACGTTTCACCGAGTCTCAGAAGCCTCAAACATCCACAAACCTGAGCATGGTCAATCCCTGTTCCGACATCATTAACAATGCAGCAAATGCACCATTCTCTGAACCCGAACTTGATTCACTTTTGAAGTTTGTTCACAATTACAAATTTTATTTTGTAACGCCTAATTTTGTTGATATTGAATGTTATTTCACTCTGTCAAGTTAAGCTATAGTCTGATCAAACTTAAATAGTTAATTTGTTAATAAGTCACCCAGTGCATGTTCTGATGGCCGAGGTGTCGGAGACTTTTATTCACTTTTGGTTGAATGTTGGGAAGATTATTTCCATCACTGCCCAGGGTCCAAATCAAGTCCAGTTTTTGTAAAATTGTAAAGTTATTTAAATAAATATTTGCATGTAATTCAGGAGGAACTTACAAGAACTGGAGCAACTGACAATCAGACTGAAGCAGAAACTGGGCATGCCTACTCACAACCAGAAGCCATCAGCTGCTTTGTTGACCTGCACAGAAGCAAGCAAGACGCCCGTTAGTGATGTCCAACCTTTCACTTCCATGCAACCATCTACTCTACCTCAGAGCACGAACGTTTCTACCTCTAATCCTAAGAAGCAGTCATTAGCTGCATTCTCCACATTACAATCAACGAAATCACCATCGCAATTAAAGTCACGGAAATTCACTCAGTCAACATTACCTGTTACTAACAACGCACATCCATCAGTTAATGGTCCCTCATTAATTCAAAGTTTAAATGCATCGGCGGGAGAACAAGAAACCGACGACAACCGCTTATTTTCTTACCTGGCCTTTGGTGACTATCCAGCAGCAACAGCCGCAGACAACGACGCGTCAAATCGAGCGTTCAAATCCGATCAGGACCTGACGGCTCGCAGGGCACCATCGGAATATGCCTCCTCCTGGATGCTCCTTCACTCCTCTCAAGTCCAACTTCAGAACAAGCTCAGTCCGCAGCGCATGAAATGTCAGCAAAGCCAGCCAAACAGACATATTTATAAGCTGAATAAAATGTCAGATGATGTTGAAGCGGGTGCTCAACCGCGTGCCCATCAGGTCAATCATAACGTCAACATGAACAACAACTACGATGTCCATGATGGTGATGTTGATGGTGATGTTGATGGTGATGTTGATTTTTTCTCAGATGTCACTAACGCTGCTTACGGTGTTGGCGATAATGTCGGCGACCATGATAAGAAGGACTGTTTCGATTATGGCGATGATGACGACGACGATGCCAGTGAAATTCACTTCGTGAAGCCGAAAATTTTGAACGGTGCCAGCGCGCTGCAGAGAATTAACGATGAAACCAAACAAATTGCAAATCAATTTCACCATGATACTGATCACAATGATGATAATGGTTGTCATGATGGTGATGATGTTGATGACACTGGTGCAAAGAGAAGTAATGATGGCCAATATGATGATGATGATGATGATGATGATGATGCAAAGAATAAGGATAGCTTTTTGAATAAAGTTAATAAGTTGCTGGAAGGAGCAAGCGCCGTCGTAGCTGCCGATGATGATGATGATCTTGTTTCATCTTTCTATTGCGACAGTGGCAGGGACGACGGTGGGGCTTCTGAACTGGTCGGCCACGGAAATATTTTTAATACTCGAAATGACGACGCCGCTTTTGATAGCGACGAGGAAGATGATGTCAGCGACGATTTCGTTGGTGGTAATGAGGATATTGTTGGTGGTGGTGAGAACAGAGATGATAATTGTAACGACGATGATGATGTCGATAGAAAAAAACATGAGAGCTCAGATGCTACGAAGGATAAAAACGGTACTCAGTTTGCTGGTAGTAATAAAGTCGATGTCAAAGATGGCTTCGACGTTGAAGTTGGTGGTAGTATGTCTTATAAAATTGATGTCGTACCTGCTACTGAAAATGTTGACCTTCATTTTGATCGTCTGTCTAATCGAGGGGAGGGAAAAAGAAATGATGATAAAGATCCGGTAAGTAAGCTTTACAATGCTGATGAATCTGCACCAATCCTCCAGCAAGAAGAAAACTTGTTAGTTTAATTCATTTCTAAATGTGTGTGTATTTGGTTTATAATAATTTTCGCATTTTTGTTACAAACTTTTTACCAGCAGAAGTTATTTTTTTATTTTTCCAGTTTGCTTACAAATTAACGTTACATCGCGTCACAGACAGTCAGTCATTGTGCCAGTTCCAGTTAAACGGTCATCATCGTCTCCATCACTTCCACCATCCAATCTGATCACATCATCATCTCCTCGACAAGCTTCACAACAGCCTTACCAGACTTCATCATCGTCTGCCTGTTCCACTGTAGTTGATGAAAACTTGTCGAAATATTGGCTAAATGGGCATAGAAAGAAGATCAGCGATCGAGTCGTTGCCTTCAAAACTTTCCAGGTGCCTTCCTTGCAGGACGCAGACAGGATTGCCAGGATACTGACGAAACAACATCAGCCTTAAAAATTATGTTTTTTCTCTTACCTGAGAACCGATTCAACATCCTGATGAAATTGGTGGCTTTTATTCATCTATTTTCTTTTTAATTTAAACTGATACATTATATGGCCTTTGAACGAAACTGAAAATATAAAAAATTTTCATACTCAAAACATCCAATAAATATAGTGAAGTCTTTCACCATAAAAAAGAATAACAAAATAAATAAATAAAATATAAAAATTCGCAATGGTCATTAGATTTTCTCGAATTGAAACATAAACTAAAATATATCTTGAAATTTATTAGATGAATATTAAAAAATCGGAATTGCGCAATCAAATCTCACACTGTTGTTACCAAAAGGTTGCTCCAAAACCAGATCACTGAAAACAAAACCACGTTCGTCAACTTGGTTCACTGAGCCGTCACTCGTAACGAAGCATAAACGTCTTTAAACGATGATCATGCTGTTGACTTAATATTTGAAGTGTTTTTGTAGTATACATATATTGTATGAAACATCAAGATACTGTCCTCTAGGCTGCTGCGTCACGTTACGGCGGACAACATTTTTACTGAATTAGATCTACAAGAGCACCTCCGTCGGTTTTTGGTAGGCTATGCGCTACGTGCCTTGTTTTGTTGAAAAGATGATGTATAAGAGATGTTTAAAATTAACTGATGGAAAATTGATACAAGATCCCCATATATTTAATTTTTGTAATCTCAAAATTAGGTACAGCCGATACTAAATCAACCTATTCAAATTAGTCTGCGCATCTCCCGAGACAATTTTTCTTTACACTCGCCGTTTTAAATATACGTTATTCGCCGACAACCAGTAAAATTATTTTTTGTGCAACGTCACCAAGAGTAGAATTATGAAACAAGTGAATTGAAAGAGTTCAGATGTGATTGAATGAATGACAGACAGGTGACACTTATTTACAACTCACAGAACAGGTTAGCAAACAAACACGTGAGCGATCAAAAGTATTCAGCGTGATTGTTGAGAACTTTTAACCGTCCTTATATTATGCAATCGATGAGTTCTTCATCAAAGGCGTCAAACATCAGTTTCACGGAGAGAGCAGAACCATAAAGTTTACGTTGAATGCCTGACGACAGGCGCTCAGTTTTACTTCAGTTTAATAAGATTAGTTTTTCTGAGACTTGGTCCCCAATGTGAAAAATAAAAATTATAAACACTCAATTATAAACGCTTGAAATTAATAGAACAAATAATTGGTTTCGTATTTTAATAGGCAAAACATCCAAAATTAGAAAAAAAAAGTTCGTAAAAATATTCATACAAAATCATGTTGTTCAAAACGTCAAAATACATGAGTGAAGTCATCTACCATCTTCACTACTTGTTATGCGTTAGTTAGCACACCAGACCACAAGCGTGCTCACACACACGCACACACACACATAAAAATTAGATGACCATAAACACAAATTTCAAGCTAAATCAGCTTTTATGCAATGCAGTTAATTATTTTAGAGATACAAATAACCCTACAAAAATATCGCTGTTGAGATTAAATAATTAAAGATTTACGAATGCGACTTTACAAAGAAACAATAGAGAAACAATGCTAGACGAATGTATTATCGTGATGTATAAATAAACTTTAGTTATTACGAAACTTCAATTCATTTCAAAATCAATGAGTAAGTAAAAGTATTTCAACAAAATAACCAAATAAAACGCATAGTATCATATATATATATATATATATATATATATATATATATATATATATATATATATATATATATATATATATATATATGTTGGTAATAGACCATAATTTTTACAATATTCTATAAATTCTACCTAATGTTTGGCATTCGGTAGAATTGAATTTATAGAATATTGTAAAAATTATGGTCTATTACCAACATTTACTCGAAGTTCTGCGACCAACCGACGTAATCCAACAATCGAAGAAGATCGCGAGCAGCGACTGCTCCTTCTCTCTCGAGAATTAGAAGTTAAAAGGAAGGTAGTTCTAGACTTGTAACGCCAAACATTCGGTAGAATTTATAGAATTTTGTAAATATATATATATATATATATATATATATATATATATATATATATATATATATATATATATGTATGTATGTATGTATGTATGTTAGTGGGAAAGATTACAATTGCACTTTGTTGAATATTTATTACCGGATGCCTTTGTTCTATGAGTATTGACTCGGCCACTCAATGGATATTCATAGAACAAAGACATCCGATAATAAATATTCAACGACGTGCAATTGGAATCCTACCCTTCCGCTAATATATATATATTTACTTGAATTAATAAAGTGCTTTACATTTATATACACACACACACACATATATATATATATATATAAATATATATATATATATATATATATATATAGTTAATTAATGCTAAGCGGGCAAAAATATTCATTGGAATTTGTATAGCCGAAAACCTCGTCCCAATATATATATATATATATATATATATATATATATATATATAAGTACATGTGTACATGACGTATACATCCTCCCCGATTGGCCATATATACATCGACAAACACCTACACACATTCACCCACACACGCACATCCATTCAATTAAACGATGTTCCATTCAAAACACATTCAATCCGACACTTAATGAAAAGAACAAAAGAACGAATTTATGATAGTCAACAACTTGTAAACATATATATTTATATATATATATATATATTTATATATTTATTTATTTATATATATATATATAACTTGTAAACATATATATATATATATATATATATATATATATATATATATATATATATATATATATATATAAATGATGCAACTGTACTCAAAAATTATCTTGTTAACGATCAATAATAATAATTAGTAATCATCCAATATTATACATAAAATTATAACATTGCAATATTTATAACATTTCGTTCAGTTCCGACATCGTTATTTTTTCTTCGATGATGTTTTTAAGGAGACCTGAAAAATGAGATGAGAAGAAAAACTGAATCGTTAACAATATAATATACAAGCAAACACTGTTAGTAGTACCTGACGTCACAGATACAATTAGAAACAACTGACGAAACTAAACTATTCACTTACAAAGTGAAAAGAAAAAAAAAGTGTAGAAAAAACAAAGAATACAGAAAGAAAACAACGAAAAAAAGTGCCCACCTCAAAATCTTGGTACTTTTTGGCCACTTTGGCAGCCGCTCCCTCCCTCCTCGTCCTCATTGATGGTGCTTTCTTGTTGGCGGGAACATTTGACTTTGAGCCCTTGCTGTTCGATGCTCCCTGCTTTGTTTTGCTTTTTGATCCATTGGTTAGTGATGAGGATGTTCTGCAGCGCAAATGTTGAATGATGATTGTCGTCGTTGCATATTTAAATGCAAATTTTTGTGGAATGTTTGTATAAAGGTCATGGTTTTTATTGAGATAAAAACTAATCATGCCGAAAGCTTATTTTATCCCTTGCTCTCAACTGTGAAAAAGTATTTTCTCTGCAGTGCATTAACAGCTTGCCAGCAGTTTGTGCTTTGAATACCTGAGATGATCTGATCTCTATCTAAATGAAGCTCATACTCAGCCTGGTGGCTCAAGTTGCAGAGTCTAGACATCAAATAGAACGAACAACAATTTTTTCAAACTAAAGTTTCACTCAAGAATGACAGATATCAACTACTTACAACCGATATTTCAATTATTTTAAAAAGTTTATCAACTGAAAATTTCATTGAAACAATAGAATAATAATTTGTAACTAATTTTTGACGCATACCTTCTGGAAGATGATGAAGACGTCGATGATTCTTGCGTTGAAAATGCCATCTTCTTTCTTGTTTTCACCGGTGTCTCATTTTCCTCTTCCTCTATCTCTTCCTCTATCTCTTCCTCATCCTCTTCTTCATCTTCTCTTTCTTCAGCATCATCATTCTCGTCTGTATCCATTTTGTTTCTGCCAAAAATTATAATGATAAGTATATAAGGACAACCGACATATGTGACGTATTTTGAGAATCAAAAAAGATTATAATGTTGTAATGCTTATACAGTTAGACGTGAAATTTTTTGTAAAAAAAAACAAACTTTTTGTCGTTGTTTCTTATCCTAGTGCTGATTTCATATTTTTCATCATCGTCATTACCATCATCACCACCGTCGTTGTCATCGTCATCGTCATTATCATCTTCTTCTTCCTCTTCTTCTCTCTCCATATCTTCCTCATTAGTTTTTGAAGTTTTGGTTTTCACATTTTTTGACGCTTTTTGACTAAAATGAAAAGAAAAATTTATTACTGCTTACTTAGTGAGAATAAATTTTTGAACGAGCATGGTCAAATTATTCATGGTTTTTTTTATTCATTTGTTAATCTATCTGATACTTTTTTTTAATTCATTCAATTTTCAATTACTTAATAAATAAATAAATAAATTCATTAATTAATTAATTTGCTAATTAATTAATATCTTCTTCAATCTCGTTAATTTATTCCATACGTCACTCATACCTTTTAGAAACAGCTTTTGACTTGGAGGACTTCTTGACAACTTTGGTCGCCTTCTTCTCTGCTTCCTCCTCCTCCATTCCCTCAATCTTCTCGTCCTCATCACTGATCAATTTAGACTTTTTAGCCTTGGGCTTGCTGCGTTTCGATGAAGCAACATGCAAAAATGAACGTAAAAATGCAAGGGAAGGACATGAGAAATGTCTTCAGTGAATGAACGCTAAGTAGGGCACCTTGCATAAAAACACGAGACATATTGAATTGAATGTGCACTAACGTGATACTTTTTGACTTGGTTTTTGATGGCTTTTCATTGATCTCCATGTTTTCTTCCTCCTCCTCCTCCTCATCATCACCCACCCCCTCCACAGCACCACCGTCATCCTCTGCTTCATCCTCTTCATCTTCTTTAGACAATTTCCTTTTATGTGTGGAGGGAGCAGTTGATCTTGTGCTGTTGTGTGTGCGAGGTTCAATTTATTTCAACTCATTTCGATGTTTTGGATTTCGAATATTACCGATTTTATTTGGACAAAGTAGCAGAAAACAATTTATATGGAGTACAACATATTAAACAACAACCTGCTCCTAAAAAATGTTGCAGTATAATTTGCGAGCTCATCTAATTAACAGGAGACAATTTTTTTAATTTCATACTTAATTCAAACTTCAATCTAACAGCCATCCGTCACTTCCTCGCCGCTGACTTGTGCACTAACTTGGAGCGACCATAAATGCAACTTATTATTGCATCATTAAATTATCATCTGCCTGGTTCAACCAGCCCAGGTGGAAAACAAGCACAAATGTAAATTGGTGGAAACAGAAAAAAATAACACAGCAAAACATCAGAATGAAAAATGAAAACATAAAGAGGGCACAACAAAGTTCCCACCCTCTCCTCGTTGACTGACTCTGTGTCTTTGAGCTGGTCTTCGAAGTTGATGGTGTGTTCTTGTGATTGACTGATAGTGTGGACTTTTTATTTGTATTTGATTGGCTGGCATCGGAGGAACGTGACCTTGAACTTTGGATGCGCTCTTCCTCCTCATCCTCAACATCATCATCACTACTGTTGTTGCTGCCTTGATGTTTTAATGCTGCATTATTTCCATTTGACTTGCTTGACGCCCTGGTTCCTCTGCCAGCCTCTTTATCTGCAAGTGTACATATGTGTGTGCATGTGTGTGTGTGTGCTTGCACTACTAACATGTGTCTAGGCGTGCACCTGTGCATTCATATGTGCGCATTTAAATAATTATTTTTGTTCAAAAATCAACGCAGTAATGAAATTGAACCCAGAAATCTGACAAGAAACCACATTCTTGTGGGTACATACAAATGCAAGAAGCGTTTGTGCTGGTTGTGGGATGAATAATGAATAAACTATGCACATGAGCAAGAACATACTCGAGGAGGCTGTGGTGGTGGTGGTCGTGCGAGGTGACAGCGGTGACCTGTGGTAAGATTCAGGAGATGGAGGTGGTGATGATGATCCTGATATGTCTTCCTTGCTCTTCTGCATACTGTCCCCTCCAGACTTAGACGATGCTCCTTGCTTCACGCGGTTCTGCGCCACGATTGGTGCAATTGAATTTACAGTCAGATGAATCCATTTGAATATGCTGCATCCACATTCATAATTCTAATGTTAAAGCTCTAAAATAAGCGAAACCACAACAAACGCAACAACAACAACAACAACGACATGATGAAAAAAAAACTGTTAATGATGAATGACCTTGTTTAGTTGATTGAGAACGTCATTGGAGAGATAGGATGCTGTGTTGTTCTTGTTCTGCAACATTCAACATTATGAGTGAATGTATGCGTGAATGTATTTGTATGTATAATCCTTTATTAAAACCAACCCTTTGTACAAGTTCAAATAAAAAAGTCATCCAACATATATATACAACATCAACAATGCCAGCAATACATATTCATTATATGATCATAAACATCAAAAACGAAGTGTTGAAACTCTCAAAACTGCAACTCTCTCTCTCCTCTCTCCTCTCTTTCTCTCTCTCTCTCTCTCTCTCTCTCTCTCTCTCTCTCTCTCTCTCTCTCTCCTAGGACATTTTAACATTTAGACATGCGCATGAACACTCTAAATTTCCCACAACAACATCAATAGCAAACACCGGCTAACACTGGGCAGTGGTTTGAAAAGTTTGGTTGGCAGCACAGGTTCGGCGGGGAAGTTCTTAATGCTGAAGCACGACATCTTCGTCAGCAAGAGATTCATGGCAAGGTCACACGTCGCATACAATTTCTTCAAAGAAAATATTCGTTCGTATTCAAGAACCATATATACAATCATAATCATCATCACCGTAGCTATCATCATCACAGTGCAACATTTTAATCAGCATTCTAACTTGTTGAAAGCACAAATATAGACACCATCATAATCATCATCATCATATCATCATCAGCATCATACCATCCCCATCATCATCAACATCACAATCATCACCATCCTCATCATCATCATCATCATCATCACCACCTTATTTGCTTCTTCGGAATCAGGACACTGAGCATCGACAGTGTTCTTGATGTTTGCGAGGATCTTGCTGTAGAATTCAAAACTGACTGTGTCGTTTTTCGTAAGAAGTGGCTCCAAGAGGAACAATAGACAGCTGTGTGTGCGTGTGTGTATGTGTGCGTGTGTGTGTGTGTGGCACACTGTGTGTGTGTGTGGCACACTGTGTGTGCGTGTGTGTGTGCGCGGCATATTTGTATGTATATACTTTTTTTATGTTAAAACAATTTTAACCAGATAGTTAAAATCAATAAACGCTCATTTATAAACCAACATATGAGTAAAGATAAAAACCAAAACACATGAACCAACATATGATTAAACATATCAACACAAAAATACTACCAAACCAACATATCAACAAACATATCAACAAAACCAAAACAAATATATGAACATCGAAAAAGCATACCAACAAATCCATAAGAACAAACTGAATATTCAACTGAATATTCAACCAACATGAATATTCAGCTGAATATTCAACCAACAAGCCAGCCAACAAAAGCAAACAAACAAACCATCCGGCAAACGATTAGAAATAAGTGTGACATGTATTGTATATTACTAAGATGACATACTCCTTGATGCTCCTAAGTGCTGGGACGTTGTCGTAGGCCACGAGGTCAGGGTCGTGTGCCAGCAGGTGCAGAGAGTACGGGAGGACGTAGTCAGGAAGGATGGAATACACTGTGCATGCTGTTCACGATGCAGACGATGATGCCAATGGTAATGCAGATGATGGTGAAAGTGGTTAAAATAATATGATGAAATAAGATAAAATAAAAAAAAATGATAAGAAAAGATAGCGTACAAGTGGCACAGGAAGGGTTCTGCCTGATGTAATCCCTCCTCCTGTTGATGTTGGCGGCCAGCATCTGCTTGATGAGGGACCTCCTCTCTTTGATGGGGTCCAGGGCTCCCAGACACATGATGCCCATGTACTGGATGGGAAGTCGCAAGTTCATGAGACCTCTGTGCAGTTTCGAGACAAATATCTGCCTCACCTCCACGCACGGGTCCTAATCATTTCAATGTAGTTGGGGGTCGAAATAAATTGCTGGTAACGATCAACATACCCTAAAAGTTTAAAACATCAGGTAGGAGGGACGAGGGACATGTAGTCAGAAAACTTCAACAATCTCTATCTTACCGACGATCCCTCGAACAGAACACATCAAACGTAATAGGGCATACACGTATGCAAATTTGTTATATAACAAATGAACATGCTAAATGCATAGCACCTATAAACACACACGTGCACACACACACACACACACACACACACACACACATATATATATATATATATATATATATATATATATATATAATTATATTAAAATATAAATACACACATTGATGAGCAGAGCCATGGTTTCAAACTGTTCCAACTTGATAGCATCAGCGTAGGCGGGCTCCTGAGCAACCTTCAACATGCAACAGCCAGCATGCAACCTTAGACGAGACATCTCTGGTTTGCTGGTATCATCACAGTAAATAACATCATCATTACATCATCATTACCATAAATAAAAAGACATCTTCAATAGTACTATTCGCAAACATCAATGATAATATCATAACTGAGATCATCATTATCACTGTTTTCATTGCATTGCAGCGCATTCAAGATACCCAGCAGGGCATCATACTTTAATTTATTTTTGCAAATTTGTATTCTTTCTATGTACAAATTGAAATGCTATCATATATCTCGTTTATTTGTTCATCAATTGTGAAAACGATATGTAAGCGTTATGAAACGTGAACGTAGGAGTTTGATGTTTTCCAAGCAATAATGCTATAAAAGACGCATCTGAATGGATGCAGGTGTACTAACTTGATGTGGCCTCTCTCCATTAGATCTCCCTCACAGAGGATCATGGTGTAGAGCATGCGCATGATCGGGCTGACCTTGCAATTGTTCTGGTCCTTCAAACCCAGCAACCAGCGACCAATCATTTTCACGCTCTCCAACTGCATTGTTATCGTGATGTTATTATTGTGATGTTACTATTGTGATGTTATTATTGTGATGTTATTTTGATGGTACTGTTGTGACGTGCTTTTAATGTATCATTGAATGTATTACGCCATTGAGGCCTGGCTCAGAGTTCTTCAGGTTGCATTCTCAACTTTGTAATTAGAAGGAAAAGGTTTTCAACGGTAAAATTATATTAAATAAGAAAAATAGTTGTTTAAAAAACAGATACTCATAAATAAATATATACATAAAGTACACAACAAACACACAACTGCAAACACATAAGAATATTAAAGATAGAGGCATATAGAGATAAAGAAGAGAGAGTGAGAGAAAAAAAAAGAGTGAGAGAAAAATACCTTGATGAGAGTTTCTTCTGAAATGTGCTTCTCTTCGCACCAATCCTCCGTTTTCTTCCTACCAACAGTCTGCAGTTGTTTCATTCATAATTAACACTTCAATTGATCCACAATCATTTCAGTTGTAACTAATTGAATTCAAAAATGGAACAGAGTGATCCAAGATTAGAAAAAATTCATATGGATCAGCCAAATAAAAGATACATTCATTGACTAGACACAAAAACTAATCATTCAACAGAGGTGCCACACAACCAACCAACAAAAAATCGCTGAATTGACCAACTCAACATAAAGCTATAAAAAAATTTACTAATCAAATCAAAAAGATCACCTATCCAACCTATCCAACAGGCACTAAGTTTAATTAACAATTGGTTAGGTAACCTAATCAGACACATTCAACGATCAATGAACCAAGTCAGCAAAATAATCAACCATTTAACTACTGATACAATCCACTGATCAGCCGGCAATTCAATCAATTAATCGATCAATTAATCGATCAATTAATAAATCAATTTATCAATCAATTTATCAATCAATTAATCAATCAATCAATCAACCATTCATTCAACCATTCAATTAATCAATCAATAAAAAGACCAACCCTGTCTTGCATGAGAACTTCCTTCATGATGAACATCGAGATGATGTTGTCCGTTGGCTCGACAAACTTGGATGGACACAACTGACAAAGATGTCCGATAGCAACGATCGAGGTCAACAGATTGGAAGACTCCAGGTTCATGCATTGTTGCAATTGCTGCGGTTGTTACAACATTTACGTAAAGGTTAAAGGTTAAAAGGTCAATTACACTTTTCCAAAGTTCAGAGGATTCAACATAGTGCATAACGTACATACATACGGCCAGTGTAATTATTCACTTAATTCTCGGTTTTCATTGATTCTGTGATATACAATGTATATCACAGAATCAATGTAATGAATGTATATTATACATTTGTAATGTATGTATATTATACATACACCAATGTGACATGCATTCTCGCGTTTATGAATTAATATAATTTATCACATCTCTGCCCGTGTAGGTAGTTATACTTATTTATGAAACAATTAGCTATCGTGTTGAAACAAGCAACAGGGTTTCTACATTGAATGTGTTTCTATATTAAACCTCTAAGTGTTTCTAAAGGTGTTTCTACATTAAATCTCTTTGTGGCATGTAACGCTGCAAGTTGGGACCAATGTGGAATGAGAAAATAAATAGCGGAATGTAAGAATGTGACGGCAACAACAACAACAATAATAATAACTGAATGCATAACACGTAACCGACATTAATTAAAAAGTATGTGCTGCTTCTGAGAAGGATTAAAATGACATCAAGGTGGTGATGACGATTACAAAGGCTTCTATAATCATGAAGATAACAGAGACGATAATGATGAAAAGAAAATTAAAGATGAGCACTGACAATAATGATGATGATTAACTGAGTTATGAATAATTACAAAGACAGGAAGATGCAATAAATTAAAATGTTATCAAAGAATGACAACTAAAAAAAAAGATGGGGATTGAAATGGTGAAAAAAAATGGCCAGCAAGAAAAAAAAAAAAAAAAGTCGATCACCTGGAATAGTTGACCGAATATTTCCACTTTATCCTTGCAAAGAACATCAATGCATCTGACGGCATGCTTGGCCTGCTTTGTCGTTCCTACCTTGATCATCTTCTGTAGAACTGGCAGCAGGGAGCTGTGGCGATCATTGTGATGGGGTGATGGTGTAATGAGGATGATGATGGTGTAATGATGATGATGGTGTAATGATGATGGTGGTGTAATGATGATGATGATGGTGTAATGATGATGATGATGATGATGATGATGATGTAATAATGATGATGTGAAGGTGATGTAATTGTGAGTGATGAGTCCGTTAACTGAAAAAAACCACTGAAAAAAATCAAATCAGCACAAATTCAGATTTTACATGCTCTATTGTAAAGTCTAAAAATCCATAAATTTTTTACTGCTTCTCAGTAATATATCATTACACAATCATTGAAAAAAGGATATAAATTGCCTTGTTGGAGAATTACGTGAAGAATGTCATCACCTGAACAAACGACATGCATCATTAGCATCATTAAACAGGACAAAATTACTCTTGCACTTATACTGGATAACTATCTAGTCCTAAATTTTCATCAACTTTTCAAGTAATCTTCATACGCCCACACTACCAACTTTATACGTTCCGGCACATTCGACTTACATCTGAATCATGATTTTGTTTTCTCCATAGAGTTCGGTTAAATTCTCCATTGTCGTGTATGGAATCATGGTTGTATTAGGAAGATTATAGAACTTTCATAGCTACTCACAAACCGCTCACCTTTTTTTTACTTAATTGCCTACATACCCACGGCATTCATCCTTTTTAAAAATGTACCATGCAGTAATCACCTTGAAACAATTTAATTCCATCAACATAAACATTTCCCCGTGCTAATGAGGAGAGCATGAAATATATCCTCCTTTATTTTCTTAAAAGGTTTTGCATGCTACATGCTGCAAATAAGAAGCATAACAAATAGAAAGTTTAAAACATTTGAAAGCTAGGTGAAATAATTTCTATGTTTGAATTGTTAAAGAAGTTTGTAATTCAAGATAAAAAGTAAGTAACGTGATAAAAGTTACAAATTAAAATGACTATCTATCCACCATAAACACCAGAAGGTCAACTGGTGAAACAATTAGTTAGCGAACAAGCAAGCAGATGGGCAAGAAAATAGACAAGCAGACAAACCTGTGAACCTCTGGAAAGGTCTGGTCGATGCCTGCGCCAACATTCTTCAGTATTTGCATAGTCATATCCACTGTTATAAATTTTGTAACACCTAATCATCAAAGTACTCAAAAACAGATATAAAACTCAGTCACACTCGAAAAAATTAATTTATTTATATATCAATATTGAAATTCACATCGCAGTCATCCAAAATCAATATTATCAACAGCAACAATTTTTAAAATAAATATATCAAAGAAGAGATGATGGCATGTAGTAGGAAGGTAGGAAATAACAGACCAACAACGTCGTCGTCGTATTTAATGAACTCCAGCAGGTAGGTGTAGATGTCATTCATCTGAAAACTTCCTGCAAAGTTCTGTGATAGGAGCTAAAAATGAATGCAAAACTTTATGTCACAGACATATAAATATATAACGGGATGAATGCTTCAAACGTTTAGTGCAAACAGGCAATTCATTACATTGTATTATCCTGTATTAACGTCATGAGTTGCCATTTACAAATTATTTCATTAATTTTTATAAGATTGGACTAATTGAAAAATTCTTCGGCTGCTAAAGAAAATTAAGAAAAAACTGAAGTAGATCAGGCCATGTTGAAATCTTCTTGCAATAAAGGATAGGTGAAATAAAACATCACAAAAACCGAGTGTCAGTGAATTTAGATGAAAACAATGACTTCCATTTTAAAAAATAAATGTTGCCAATGCCACAGAGAATGCTCCTGCAACAACCTACAACATGTCGTGTGCAGAGTTCTTTGTCACTTTAAAGCAACCAGCTTTAATGGAAATTTTTAAGAAGAGAATTTATGTAGCAAGCAAGGTGGTTAAAGGATGTTCGATTATGTTAAGGATGTTCTAAATTTTATTAATTTGTTTTTGTAATAAATTTAGGCGTGAATTTAGATTTTTAATTAGAGTACAAACTTGGAATATCTTGTGTTTTAAAGAAACAGAGGTATGACATTTTTTCCACATTTTAAACGCAAAATCATTGTTATTTAAGACTAAGGAATGAGTTGCCTCTCCTGGTTTACCTGTTTTTCCTTAAATCTAAATTTTCCAATTCAACAATATTGCTCCATGCATATCCATCGTCTGAGATATATTTTGTCATTATAGTATTATATTCGAATCAATAGAATAGATAAAGTTGATCATAATATGAAACCATGGATTTATTTTAACGCTCATTTAACAACTATTACAACATATTAAATTTCAGAGATAAATGAATGTAGCTTAGGATGTTCATTTGTTTTGACAACTGCAGACAAACTGCTAACTAAAAAGACTTGTTTTGACAGTTCGACAACCAGGTCTGCCATAAGGAGTCTATGTTGGGCGACACATGATTCGCCAGGTATAACTAATCATATTGATCGATTGATCGATTGATTGATTGATTGATTGATTGATTGATTGATTGATTGATTGATTGATTGATTGATTGATTGAAACTGCTAACTAACAACAAATGACAGACGGTTTTTTTTCTAAGTAGATAACCACTTTGATGTAGAATGCCTGAAATCAACTTTAGATACACCGGCACAACACGATGCCTTAGGATAAAAACTTTATATAACACAACTTTCGCCTGCTCTCGAATGCTTTGTATTGCAGTTGGTAGACGATGTAATTGTAACAATGCCTTCCAACTGTAATGGAGGGACTCCTATTCACTCAGTTGAAAGATGGCTAGCATCCATTCAAGAGTTGATGTGCCAGAAGTAATCAGCATACACAATTCACACAAGGGTGGCAATGATCAGATGGATATAGAAGATATTTGCGTGATAATAAACGGTTGTGGCGAGAGTTCACTCACTTATCGTCGTTATCGTTATCAAGTTTGTGGCTTCTATCACCACAGACAATTCCCTATAAATTCTGCAAGTTATGAATGTTTAGATGACGAAGACTTTCCAAACTGAACTTTTTTGACCTCATTAAAACCAAAGTTAGTTATTCTTACTAATAATATTGTGACTTATCTAATTTGTTTGTTTACGCTAATAATAATAATAATAATAATAATAATAATAATAATAATAATAATAATAATAATAATATTAATATTAATAATAATAATATAATAATAATAACAATAATAAAAATAGTACTATTGATAATATTGCAGAATGTTACATTTAAAGAATTTTATCATGTTATTATTTTAAAATATAACTCAAACAGGATAATACAATTTGGTAATGAAACTGATAGCGAACATTGAAATTATGAACTTGATGGCAGAGTGAGACTTTACAATGAAAAATTATACAAAAAAAAAACAAAAAAAGCTTTTAGAAGCTTACAAAATGGAAAAAAAAGCAATGGCAACTAACCAGCAGCAAGTTAAGACCAGATTTTTGGTGTAATCGTTCTTTGCGTCCTTGTTTCTCTTCGTCCTCTTCATCATCATCTTCATCGTTGCCATCCAGCTTTGATTGGATAACTTTTTGGATGAGGATGATGAGAGCGAGGATACTGAGATTGTCGATCATCAGTGGAGCAATCCTTTCCAGCAACTGCTTCACTGTTGCATACAGCAGGTTCTGCGGCGTTGAATTGCCCAGCTTCTTTATGATCTCTTTCTGCAAGTTATCATTCGAACTTCTATGAATGAAAGTGTTGAATTTAGTTATTTAAACCTGGAAAAAGATACACATTAAATGTGTGTTTTACACATTACACATTTTACACATTTGAACAAGACACATATTAGATGTGTGTTTTCTTCTCAAAATAAGTTCTGAACGATATTCCGTCACCAGATAACTGCAAAAACTGCAGCAAGCAGACAACTAACCACATGTTCCTCAGCTTTCTTGCACTCACACTGTGCATTGATGAGATTCTGAAGACTCTGTCGTATCTTTGACTCCTGGATGGATTTGAAAAACTTGTGAAGTTGCTGGCAGGCCTTCTCTGGCTCAGGTAGGTGACCTGCAAAATAATTTTTTTCATCAGCATAATCAGCAACAGTAACATATCATGAATTTTTTATAAGGTTCAAAGTTCAATAAACTGCTTGAAAATAATTTATGAAAAAAAAAAAAACAAATTTTGAATTATTATCTTTTTCAGACATTCCAAAGCATAAATTAATGAAGTATTTGATATAAAATGACAGACGTGATAGAGCGAGTATCTTGGTGTTGATGGCCTGACCGACATCTGGTGAATCACCTTTCTGCTGCAGGTCGAGGATGTTCTTCACGATGTTCCTCAGTCCTGCCTGGGTTTTGAAGATCTCTTGCAGAGCTCTGATGGCATGCTCATCCAGGTTTGAGTAAAGAAGGTACAACTGCTTCATGCGAGACGGGGGGTCCATGGAGTATGGGACCAGGGATGTGTTCAATATCCTCTCCACTAGTATCCTGATTATATGTTTTAATAGTTTTATTCAAGTTAACTTTTAAATTTTAAATAGAATGATGAATCATGATTCTCAGATATGCATATCAATAGAAAGATGTAAAATAGCAGGAATGCAAACACACGGACTTGTCATCAATGGAGAGCTGGTAGTAGGCATGCAAGACCTTGTTTCTGATCCAGGCCACCCTCCTCACGTCCCCGCCGACCTCGTGACACTTCTTGTAGATCTGCCCCAGTCCCACCAAAGCTTCCCTTCTCACCTTGAACTGAGCAGATAAACAATAACATCATGAATAACCATAGAATCGTGGATTAAATTGAAACAAACTCAGAGTTCAAAAAGAAACTTGTCATACCTTCTTATCAAGAGTCCTCTCCTTGACACATTCCAACAAATCATCGGGAACGTGCTTCAACTCGGCTTTGGCACTGGCGACGATGACTTTCACAACATCCATGCGCACGTTCTCGTCAGAATCATGTTGCCTGTGCTTCAGGTGCTCTGCGTGGTTTGTTGCATTTTATTCATTTAAAAACCACATCGATGTGTTCTTTATTGCATGTCTGATTTTTATGAATTGCAGGTCTGATTGAACGTTCAACTATCTATTTAGATGTATTTATAAATTCAAATTTACAACCAAATTTACTGAAAAGATTTAACAAATTATAACAATTTGACAGTTTTTAATATGTATGACCATTCAAAGTTATAAGTTGAGTGTTTTGAAAGGTTCAATCAGAACAGAAACACAGAACTGTTACCTAGAATAGTGAAAAAGTTGAAGGTAAAAATTTTAATAAAATACTAGAGTAAATAAAACTAAAGTAAGACAAGTCTCTGAGTTGGATTTGTAAGATAACATGAAAATCAGAGTTCCTTTCTTTAACAATGGAGAAACACCAACCAACCAAGCAACCAACCAAGCAACCAACCAAGCAACCAACCAACCGAGCAACCAACCAACCAACCAACCAACCAACCAACCAACCAGCCAGCCAGCCAGCCAGCCAGCCAGCCAGCCAGCCAGCCAGCCAGCCAGCCAACCAACCAACCAGCCAACCAAACCAAGCACCCAACCAACCAGCCAGCCAACCAACCAGCCAGCCAATCAACCAACCAACCAACCAACCAAGCACCCAACCAACCAAGCACCCAACCAACCAACCAACCAGCCAGCCAACCAGCCAGCCAACCAACCAGCCAACCAACCAACCAACCAAGCACCCAACCAACCTGCAACTCCACTGCCTGCTGCTTCCTCAGTGACAAGTTCAGCGTGATTGATGATTATATCTTGACATGATTGCACTGTCATGCGTCGAATGTTCAGATCAATGTCGTTGAATCTGTGCGGTTGTGTGGTTAAAATAATCAACGGACAGGTCTGAAGGAGAAAATTTGATCAAAAAATGTTGAACTGTTACAGATAGGAAAAGGAAAATCAATCTATATGTAGAATTAGTCAAAATGTATAATAAATTAAAACATTACATAAAGACAAGACTGATTAAGGTTAGGAGATTTTAAAATAGTTTAGGTAGTTAATCACTAGAGCTATGTTGATATGTTGTAAGGTGACTAGGACCATGCTGACTGACCTTCCAAGAAAGGCATTCCAGAGTTGCTTGTGCTGAAGGGCAAGATCGGAGTTTGGTGCAGCAAACATCTTAGTCAGCAGTTTGGTAGCTGCCATCCTCTCTGCATCATCCGCACTCTGTTCCATGCATCGGTCGGGCAACGATATTAAGAAATAAAATAAATTGAGGAATGACGAATTGATATGTCATAATAAAAAAACTAATTAGAATCATAAGAAAAGAAATCAATGAATTTGTTAGGCAATTAAATTGAGAAATAAAATAAATAGAATGATAAAAGAATGATATGTCAAAATAAAAAACTAATTAGAATCACGAGAAAACGAGGCAAACCTTGAGTTTCAACTCCAGCTGTGGCAGAACATTTTGTAAGAGACTGGGAGATATGTTGTTAAGTTCCTGGATGAGATCATACACGCGGCCACTCAGAGAACTCTTCTCACTCTTACTACTTTGAATCAAACAGTTGCTCAAAAACTGTGCAATTAAAAAAAATTACAAACCAAACAATAAGCAAGGTAAGCAAGTTTATGTGACGTTGGTTAAAAATTTTAATTAACAAATTAAATATATATATATATTGGATTAGGACTGTCAGAAGAGCCAATCATTGATGAAAAGTACGTTCCGCATTAGAACATTCTAATGCAGAACATGCTGTGATTTTCATCAATAATACATACATATATATATAATATATATACCAATAAATATATATATATATCCATATATATATATATATTTATATATATATATATATATATTTTATATATATATATATATATATCGCCATCATTATAATGTCCGTCTTACAGCCTTTACTGATAAAAATAATTTTAAATCTTGAATTAGAATATACACTGAATTTCTTCCTACCAATTCGATGTACGGCTCAAGAACAGAAGTTGTCCTCCTAATCAGGTCCCTGGCCATTTCAAACGCTGGTCTGTTTTGTGTCTGCAGAGAATGAAAGAGGGTGTTGAATTATATGAACGGAATGACAAATTTGTCAAATTTTAATACAATAGGATGATCGATGTGTTTGCCTAAAACAGAAGTTTATGAGAACGTTTCAAGTGTCATCATCTAGAATAACTACTGTAATGTTATTTTTTATTCTTTAATTGTTAACGGGCATTAAAATGTATGTAAATATTTAATTATATTTATTTAATCATTACAATAAAGAAAAGCCTCTACTTTGAAAGGTTCGATGATGCATGCAAGAAAGATGTCGAGTACTTCCTGTGGGATGGCATCGGCTTCCGAGAGGAGTGGGCAGAGGATGTCCAACATCAGTACCGACACTTTGTTGTTGTGGCGGTCACTGGGTGGTGTTCATTCAGTTCATATTTCATTTCAATTGCCATTCAAATCATAATTGTTCTATATGGACAGATAATTTAATTTAAAAAAGAAGATGTTAACAAATTTTGTTTCTTAAAATTTTTTGTAAATTATAATTATTATGCAGTTTTATGTCATGCCCAGGACATAATTATTTCATAATAATAAATTATAATTATATATTATTTTTATATTATTACCGTAAATTATATTTCCTGTTTGTTATTAATGTGTTTAGTAAAGTTTTATAGAAAATGAGTGGAAAACATTAAAATGAAAAAATAATTCTTGAAAAACTTTTCCTTCTATTGTAAATCTAAATAGTATCATTTTATGTTTATTAAATACACAATTCCACAAAAAGTATTCCATCAATGAGAATTAAGAAAAAATTATGAAAAGAATAACAAAAAATTAAGCTAAAAAAAATATTTAATATCAAATGTATTAATCTTGTGATAAAAAATTGAGCAAATGTGAGCAAACTTGATGAGTTCTAATGTTGTCTTGAACAATCTGAAGAGAATTTCTGAACTGTCAGGTAGTTCTAGGCTAATGTTGAAGGATTTCACCCAGGCAAGATTCTATGATCGATCATGTGTGTGTGTGTGTGTGTGTGTGTGTGTGTGTGTGTGTGTGTGTGTGTGTGTGTTTTTGTGTCTGTGTGTTTTTGTGTCTGTGTGTTAAGTGGCGGATGTACGAATGTGTGTGCATGTTTACGAATATATGAATATAAATGCATTTAATGTACAATAATGACATCATCTTATGGTTTGACTCAACTGCTTGCTGTAAGACTGCATGACTACAAAGACTTGAAAACTTTTGTAATTAACAGCAAATATGTGGCTGTTACAATTTTATTGTTAGGAGTGAATGCATAGCTGGCAAGAATGAAAAGATTAAAATGCTAGGAAAACTTTGATCCAACAATGGAGCTTCAAATGATTCTTCATAAAATTAATAAATGGAAAAAACTTGTCGAAGGCAAGATCAGCTAACAAAGTCAAAATTGTGACAAGTGTCATTCTATCGAAAATTCCTCGCTGTAATATGCAAATTTTTCAATTTGTTTTATTTCCGTTTGAGGCATAGCCAGATAGTGATATGATTATATACATAATCACAATCCACGATTCAAAATAAATAATACGCAAACATTCATTTGTTTCATTTACAAATGAAACAAGTGATTATTTTAAACAGTTTGCATGGGATTAAAAAGAATTTTTAATTAAAAAAGTATCTGAAAAAGAGAAAATATAATTACATGATAGCATTCAATTACAGTTCAGCAGGACAAAAATACAATTTTATCAACAGCATAAAGCCAGAACTGATACATTTTAATGCAATTTACAATATAATTAACATGTTAAATTAAAAAATTTAATTACAATATAATTGTTTTGTTGAGAATATAAAATTTGAATTTCCAATAAAAACAGATCACTGTGTTGCGGTTTATGGCATCAAGCGACAAATGACCAAAATGATTATAACCTAAAACACAATAACAATAAGAATTCAACAGCAATGACAACCGCTGCAGCAACAACAACAATGAGACTAATGACAGCAACCCACCTCGAGCAGGTAGAAGTACCTCTTGAATAAGGGAGATTCTGGGTCCTTTAAACCTTTCAGTTGATCGATCAAGAAGAGAAATATTTCCTAGACACATTATGTTATTCATCCATAAATTATTCACTAAAAAATTATTTTCATTTTTGTATAAAAAAAATTGACTATTAAATAATTAAATGCAAGCCAGAAATGAAAACATTAAGAAGATCTTATAATGAAGAGACAACCTTCAATTGTTCAGGTTCAGTGTACGGTGCATCAGGTACGAAGACCCGAAAGATGTCAGCAATGCAACAAGCAACTAACAGTTTGACATCCTTGCTGTTGTGCTCCAGAAAGTACTCAGAGGCCAGATAGATGGCCAACTGTTTGAACTCGTCATTGTCATCTTGAGACATGTCTTGGAAGGCACGGGTCAACAACTTGCCGGCAACAATGAACAAAATTAAAATATAATGGTTTAATCATTTATTATTAAAATATAAGTCGTAATATATATAAAAAGCCATATTATAAGTGAGTTGATTTGTAGAAATAGAAATATGACCATGAATGACAATTTCTTCCAATTAAAAATAATGCTAAATTAACAAAATGTTAACCAAGTATAATTATTCAAGTAACATTTGGGCTCAATATGACAATAACTTTATGATGTTTAAACCTTCAAATGGTTGTTTTTAGCAATGTTTTGACAATATTCATAACTAAAAATTAAATAAACAGTTAATCAATTTTTAAAGAAAGAGTTTTAAAAAATATATCACTTTGAGTCTTTTCACAAGTTCATCATTACTCAATTCTTCAGTGATCTCTTTACACCCAGCTGGGTAGGTCAGTTTCAGATGTTTTTCAACTTTTCGAGACATACCTTGGTAACCTTGGTTTTAATACCCACTATAAACCTGCCTGTACTTTTTCAATTTTTACTTTATTAATCTTTAATGAATTAACTGACAACTCTACTTTTATTTTTATTTTATAAGATAAGTCTGTTCAGTTTATATTATTTTTATATTTAAATATTATTCTGTCCTGTTTTTATAGGTAATGTAATCAGCTACTTCAACCTTTTAGAGTTTAGTTCAATGACAAAATAGTAATTTAATCAAATTAAAAGATGATTAATGTGCTTGTTAAATTTTTGGAGTCTTTTTAATCTTTTTTACAAATCCACTTTAATTTAAATAAAACAAAAAAATATTTAATTTTTTTTACGAAAACTGAAGTCAATAATCAATAATAATTGATTTAAAAAGTAATATAAAGTAAAATAACTAATTTTAAAATTATTAAAAATTAAAATTATTAATTACAATATTTATCACAATCACAAATGAGAAAGTTTCTCTCATTTTCTCAAAACTCAATACTTTTTTGTACACAACACAGGATTCGAACGAAAATTGAAATAAGATAAAATGAAAATAATAAATAAACAGAAAACAGCCCAAGATCTGATTATACTCTGGCTAGTTTTATTATCTTTATGACTATTTCTATTTTAAACAAAACAGTGAATCACAGATCCGCCATTTTACAATATTTTTGAATGCATGTTTAAAGCTCCCAAATACTTTTCTCACTTTTGAAATAGAAAAATACTAACAATATCGATTTAAAAACAGTTTTTAGAAATTTTATTTATTAACTTAATTCGATAAATTATCGCTACAAAAACATCGACTTTCAAAAACAATCGGCGCCAAAGACACTTTATCAAATATGGTCATAATCGCGAACATCTGATGTCAAAATTACCCTCATGGTTTTTGATTGCCGTTCAGCACGTTGTGCCCAACCACATGAGCCTAAAAAAACGTTCAAGTCGGAAAATCGCCCGAAATGAAAAGTTTGCACTGGTTTTTAAAATCTCACAACAATCGAATTTTGACCATTGAATTACTTACAGAGCGTAGACTTGGAAGCAATTACGTCATTACACTGTAATTTTACGCTGTGAACGATCATCAGCTGGAGTTTTCCTGCATCAATTATAATAATACGTGACGTCGTTGCTTCTCTGGTTTCCAGTAAAGCGTACAATGGGAGAGATGCAATGGGTAATTCCAATTTAAAACTCCACGTTCACAACCGAAATTTTTTCATCCACATAATTACAACACGACACGTTACAAAACTAAAAACTTTGTGTTAAGGTGAGGGTTAGGGCATAGTTACCCTATTTTGCCAAAAAAGCTTTTTGCTCATAAACTTTTTGCGTACGCGATTCTAAATAATTAAATTGGCCTTTATACTCTTGTTGGATAATATAAATTTAATAACATAACTTCAGTTGTTAATAATCCTAATAGACCAAATATGTGTTGTGATGGGACAACATCTTAGGTTCTCAATTTTGATATAAATATACAAGTACAAGCTTTAGTTTTCTTAGAACGTAAAAAAATTCGATTAAGCTGTATATTGTTTGCATTCCTTAAACTCACCTCACTAGCTTTTTTGTACTTTTAAATTATAAAATTTCAATACTGTATTCTTTGAACTCGAATTCTTTCAACTGTAAAATTTACTGGACGCACTAAAATATTTATATGTTACTGTTTAGTTCAGTGACTGGATTGAAAACGCGCATTCGTTGTAATTTGCGTTGGCCGCAGTCAACTTCCAACCAGCATGCTATTTGTAGGCGACCCGCAGGAGAACGAAGGAATATTCAAGTATGAGCTCTCCGGCCAACTTCGAAAATCAAGTGGCTCAATTCGTTAAAAATTTTCATGCCAATGAAAAAAAATCGAATAAAAACGGACAAAACTGAGACTTTCGACAGATTGATTTTACGCACGTTAATAGAAATTTTAAAAATAATGCAATGAAAACATTTATTTAATAAAAAAAACTAAAGTTATTTATAATAAAAAAATTGAAGTAGTAAATTTAATTTACGCAGTGTTTTTCTATAGGATGAATTTTATTCAATCAGTTCTAAAACGTTTTCACATTTAACTAGTCTTTTAAATAAAGCCGGCTAAGGGCCAGTACTGTTGGAAAGTGCAGACTTTTCATCAAAAGTTAAAAGAGAATTTTCTAATTTTGAGGCCCAAAATTTACTCATGAGATGCATTTCCTCAGTGATATTTAACGTCTTTGCTGTATCAGGACCCCAATGTTGATCCCTACCACCCCAATAATGCAGCATTTTCAACGTGTTTCCAGCATTTCTAGAGAGTCCATGTTTTAAATGGTTGTGGTGTACGGCTGCACTCAGGACACTTGCAGGCCTATAGATAGGTTTACTCAAATAATTTGCTGGTTTCTTCGTCATTCTTGTTATCCGTTTTATGACAAGATTTTCAGATCTTTTCCCCCGGCCTAACATTAAGTAGTTGTCCATTGATAATTCACTAATTTCTTCTGAAACGTTTTGCAAATACCGAACAAGGAAATTTTCTTGACCATCTGTCGGTGAGAAAGGATATTCATCGATATCTATTGCCATGTGCCACAGGTGATATTTTTTAAACCTTCTAATAAATCTTTGATAGCATTTGGTCTGAGAGGCCATAGGATTTCTCACTCCACTCCATTCTACATAAGTAACAAGCTGATAATCTATATATTTTTTTATATGGTTTTTGAACATTTCATCCTTGGATGCATAATGATCGCAAATAAGAATATGTTCTACTCCAGCCAAAAGTAAATAATGGAACCATTGCTTGAGTTCATTTATTGACCATTTTGCCTTATCATAAGCATACAATCGAACTTGCAGCACCACAACTAGAAAATAATAATCTTCTGTTGTTTCACCAAACTCGTCTTCTTGCGGTTCGAATTTTTTATATCGTAAAAAATGTTGCCATATTGGAAGCTTTCTCAACTTGCCCTCGATGTAAACAGTTTTTTGGTTGTCGATGAATGTTGTGTTTCTAGGCTTTCCAAGAAGCAGCAACCGATCTTTTAACGAAATAACAGTGTGTTCTTCATTCCAAGTTTTTTCGACTGAGGAATTGCTAGCAAAATTGCTTGAGCTCTTCCAATCATCGCTCAAATAACGAAATGCACCCGAAGAAACTTTCAGTTGAAAACATTTGTAAACGTTGAAAACTGCAAATATTCCAAAAACAGCAAAAAAGAAAATTTTTGTGGTTGATGTTTGACCAAGTAGAAACACATGCATTTGTCAACAAAAATGAATAATAAACACATCTTCAGTCGCTGGCTGATTGATAACCAAACATTGTACCTTGACAGGTGAAGCATAGAATAGAAAATGCCGTTAATGACTGTTTGACGCATGAATATATCCATGGTTTGACGCGCATTTGTGATATTTGAAAACACAGATGCAAATGCAAGCAATATTACATTTTTATAGAAAACAAGATTTTTTCACCTTTTCCGATGTAAAACGGCATGGTTTTTTATAAGATTATCTTCAGTGTACACGAAAACATGAATGCGATTACACCAAACTTTCAGGTGGACGGGAATTGAAATTTAGTACCAATAAATAGAACTGTTATCCAATAATTTTGGATAGCAACAGTCCTATTTTTAATAAATTTGGATAATAATTCTATTTTCAATAAATTGAACACTTTCCAGAGAATTTTAGTAAGGAAAATTGAAAAGAAAAACTTTAAATAAATAAATCAATCCATAAATCAATCAATCAATCAACCAATCATTCAATCAATTTCTAAAACGCTATTTCCGCGATGTTCAACAGCACTCCTCAGTGAATTTTGTAAACAGATGGGTCTTGAGATCCGCTCTAAACTTCGTAAGTGATGGAGAAATAGAGAAGGAGGTAAAGACTTCCAGAGAAAAGGGCCAGAAAAAACAAACGCAGAATTAGCAACAGAGTGTTTAAACACGAGTAAAGAAATGAGAACAAGAAAATCGTAAACCGGGACGTTTAGGTTTAATTAGTATATCTGATAAATTCTTAGGAAATAATTTAGAATGAGACTAAAGAAGGAATAAAGTAAGATCGTCAAAAGAAGGCAAAAGATTTTTTATTCTACGTAGATGAAAGTATTAACTTCTAGCAACACTATTAATCGGAGAAGGAAGAGACATGCTAGAATCAAAGATAAAGCCTAGACTACAAAACGTATGCAATACATCAATGCTCAAGATCCGCTCAGCTTGAATATTATAAGAAGATTTGGCAAACTCCAGTGTGGCATCACATGGACTTGATAACTCACCAGTGAGCATGTCAGCCATTTGATTGTTTGCAGCATCGATTACAATTCGAACAATTTCTATTATGATTTTAGAGACATAAATCATCATCCTGGCATTTACAATCAATCAAAGATTTGAACGTTTCGTTCCCCTCCAAGCTGTTTTTAACGATGTTCTCGTCCATGAACAATTCTGGTCGTTTGAACTTGTTAAGTTTTTAATAACGGCTTTGAAAGTTGCAACCTAAAGATTGAACTAATAATTATAAATTTTTGATGTTTAAGAATTTCAAAATTTTGTCCCAAAAAGATGGTACAACTAAGATTAGAAACAAAAAAGAATAACAATACGGTTAAAAATTTTTTATACCATCTTAAGATTTGAATATTGCAATAGAATTTTTGTAGAAGAATGTCACACATGGACCAGTAACAACTTTCCCAACGAGACCTATAGATTTATGATGAAATATCTTTCTTTCTCTTTCATCATGCCGCTGGATAGATCCGAGTCTGACACCATGCTTTATGAGAAAAGTTTCAAAAGCCCACGGCACATCTTTTCAGCTGTATCTGTGAAATAGAGCACGTTAATCGAACAATACAATATATATAATTGTTCTTAACGTTACCTCAGCTTGGAGAGTTTATACATGGTACGTAATTTATACGCTACGTTGCCGTTTTTATCATTTGTTAGCACTTCAGCCGACTTCTCGTCATTTATTTTTTTCATTTTTATTTTCTTACTGGTACAACAATTATTAACCACAAGAGGCGAAGTACTACTGCATGCTTGCGCCGGTTGAGGATCATTCTGTGAAAACAAGCTAATGGTGAAAAGGAAATTTATAAAAGTTGAAAGAAATGTCCGACCCACAGCATATATATACCTTTTAAGCAATATAGAATTATCCCCCAAACAAATTCTATATAAATAACGACATTCATTTCCTAGAACCATCAAGTTCTTTGTACTGAGGTCCGACTGTACTTGCTTAGTTATTTTACTTTTTTGATGAAATTTTTAAAATTTGTTACTTCACTCTTGCTTGTATTAACGCGTGTTATACGCGTGTCTTGGTCATTTAATTATTTTTTGTCATCAGCAATTAATAATTTTATCGTAAAAAAACTATTAACTTATCATATTTGGTTAAAATAAAAATTGTATTTAAGTAATTGTTTGACACAGAATTGTTAAATTGCTGTTAACAATGCCCACCATAAAGGGGTGTGGCGATTTAATTTCCCTATGGCGCTAGTGCTGTTTCACTTTTTTGCATTCTTTTTTATTATTATTTAAAAAAAAACAAAATCTGACAAACGCAGAAACTGTTACAGTTTGCAAGGCAATAGTATAAAATGATGACGAAAAATAATTAACGGGGAAAATGTTTAAGCATGAAAAGTATGGAAAATAAAATAAAATAATGGTTAAATATGACAAATAAATAAAAAAAATTATTAATAGACTATTAATGACTTAGTGATTTAGTTAAGTGATCGATAAGAAAAAAGAGAACTAAATTGAGTAAATGATAAAGTTTAATTGAGCGCTAATATATTTAAGGTGTCTCGTATAACCATTGAATTCTATAATTCATGAATTATATAACTCCATGCGTATATCTTAATATTATTAAGATATGATATACATACATTAACAAGTTTCGATTGTATTATAGACAAAAACATATTTACGAGAAAGAAAAAACGGGAATTTTATTTCTCGTTGTGGTAGCTAAAAAGCTTGTTCAGCGTTTTGTTTGTTTAAGATTTCAAAACAAATCAAATAAAAAGATTAAACTGCTGTTAAAATAATTTAAATTGAAATTATCTAACAAACTATTAAATTAATTTGTCATGAAATCGTAAACTATTGAGCGGCTGTATACTTTGCGAGGTAGCCGTTACATGTTTAGTTATTGTAAAACTTTGTTCTAATAATATATATATAGGTGAACTTAAAAATAGAACATTATTAAGCTTAAAAATTTTTCTCAAAATGGAGTTTAATGAAAATGAAATACATCGTACTTATGATCCAAAAGCTTTGAACATGCCGGGCTACAGTCATCTGAATAAAGAAGTTAATCGTCCTTTTGTAAATAATCCATTAGATTTGGAAACGGTGGATTGCGAACTTTTCATTGGAGAACTTAATCGCCAACTCGCGGATGAATCATTAAGTTTGGGAATGCTGCATAACAAAATTCTTACTGGAGAACTGAACCATCCACTTGTAAATAAGCTATTAAAATTGGGAATGCTGCAATACAAACATCTTACTGAGGAACCTAATCGCCCACTTATGAATATTTCATTATGTTCGGAAATGCCGAATCACAAATTTAATAAAGGAAAATTCCCACTTGCAAAGCATCCATTAAATTTGGAAATGCCGCCCCAAAAACTTCCTGCTGGAGAACTAAGCTATCCACTTGTGAATAATCAATTATGCTTTGGAATGCTGGATTACAATACTCACAATGGAGAACTTAATTGTCCAATTGTGAATAATTCATTAGGTTTGGAAATGCCAGATTACAATGCTAATAATGGAGAACTTTTTCTGGTAAATGACCCATCAAGTAAGAAAAAGCTGGATTACAAATTTGACACTGGAGAACTTAACCATTTTCTGACAAATAATTCATTAGGTTTGGGAATGCCAGATTATAATACTAATAGTAAAAAACTTCCACCAGGCCTTGGGATGCTGGATTACAAATTTCATACTGCAGAATTTCATCGTCCCCTTTTAAATGATCCATGTTCTTTAGAGATGCCAAATTATAAACTTCATGTTGGAGAACTTAACCATTCCCTGGCAAATAACCCTTTACATTCGGGAATATCTGATTACAAACATCATACCGAAGAACTTAATTGTTCCCTCGTCCACAATCCTTCAAAAATGCTGGATTTCAGACTTGGTGCAAGAAAATCTAATTATCAATACGTGAATTCTTCATTAGATTTGGAAATGCTCGATTATAAACTTCCAAATGGAGAGCATAATCTTCTACTTGCAGATGATCCACTGAGGATGGGGAGGCTCGAAAGCAAATTTTTTACTAAAAAATTTGATTGCCAGCAAACGAAGGTAAACTATTTTGATAAATATTTTACTATTTAAAAAGTATAACTAAACGTCATTATCTTTTAAGCCTACTACAAAATTATTTAGATATAAATGAATATATTGTAATATATTTATGAATTCATTTTATGTAAAAATGAAAATATTAATTTTAAAATAACTTGATTCAGCAGTATGAACCAAAAATATTTGAAAAATTGGTTCAGAATAATTTTCATGAGAATGGAGTTGAAGGAGAACTGAATGAATTTGACCAGATTCGCAACAATCAAAAGCCACAAAACAAGAAACGTATTTGTTCCCCTGAACATGATCCATATCTTTTAGAAATGTCGGATTTCAAACTCGATGCGAGAGAACTTGATTGTCAACTTGTGAATACTTCATTAGATTCAAGTATGTTCGAATACGAACTTCAGAATGGAGAACGTCTACTTGAGGATGATGATCCATTAGGGGTGAGAAGACTCGAAAACAAATTTTTTGCTGAAGATCGCGAGCTGACGAAGTTAACTGAAAAGTTAAACCAAAATGATTTTAATGAGAACGGAGTTGAACGAGAACTGGATGAATTTGACAAGATTTTGTTGAAGCGCAAAAATCAAAGACAGCCAGACAAGGAAGGAGAATTTGTATTGAAGAACCAAACCTTTCGTAAACTGGACAAAAAGTTTTATGAAATTTTGATGCTTAGAAAATGTATCAATTTGGTACAAAAAGAAGGAAAACGATTATTGCATTGATTGAATTTATTTAAAATTTTTTATTACTTTTAAATTTTTCATTTTTTATAAAACAATTAATTAAATCATTGTAATAAAATTTGGTGGTTAACTTTGATTGAACCGGATGGTTAAATGTTTCGTTGAAAAGAATATTTAAACAGTTTTTATAGTTTTTAACAAGAATATTTGAAAATGTATAAATTGATTTTTTAAACATTTAATATTACTTTGATTTTTTTTTGTTGAATTTAACTTGTCGCATTGCATGTTTTTATGTCCATTATCTAATGTTAATTGAAATTAATTAAAAATCAATTGATATTTGCCTCCAAATGTTCGTAAAAATTAAAATTTTTTAAAGTTTCATTCAAACCAATCAGTCAACAATCTTTTTAGCTTTTGTGGGACACTTTTTTTGGTTTCCAAAATATTTTTCCATATTAGGCCAGTTTTATCAAGTGTAATGTTCCCACTAGATCATTCTAAATATTCCAACTTTTGTCTTCTTGTTTCTAGATCCCATTGCTTAATCATTATTCGTGTAATATTGATAATATATGATTTTTATAATCGCAAAATCATTTTCATGTTACCGAAAATAATAATAATATTATTATTAATATTAATAAGATAAACAGTAACATCAACGAACCAACAACCGTGCGTTATGTTGGCAACTATGAACTGGTTGAGCTGCTATGTGTCATGCGGACGAACAAATGTTTGAAACATATTTTTGATTCAGAATATAATTTTGGGCATGTATTTATAAAATTTTCAATTATTTTAAATAAAAAAAACTTAAAAAACTTTTTGTTTCAGCTTTGCGTGTGTGACTATTGTAAATAACACTTCCAATGTAATATATTTTTTTGTTTTTTAAAAGAATCATTCTTTAAACAAAAAAATAATTATTAATATAGTCTGACATTGTGAGCATGGAATAGCAACGGTTCGCGATAAGACGCAACGCTTGACAACATAACGTACTTGACTTACTTTTTTGTTTGTAAATATTATGACTTATTATGATTGGTCACCGAGTTAGCTCAGTAGGTAGAAGTACCATGTCTCACGCTGCTATGACGCGATGGCATATAGTTCGAACACTGTCTGTCTGATGCTCAAAGATTTATTAAACGCCTGTGATGTGGTGCTTGCGCGTGCATACGTAATGTGTATATACGTCGTTTAGTTTAATTACAAGTGTAGAATAATGCGTTATAAGAATAAAAAACTATTATTATTATAATTAATCACAGTTTTTATATATTTTTATTAATATAATTTGTATATTAATAGTGTTTTGATGTTACTTACGTTCATTTACGTATAATTACCGAATAGCCCAATTTAGAAATAAATTTTGTTGTTGCAAACTATTTTTAGGAACCAACAATTTCGCTTTCATGGGCATAAACTTGGTTTCGTTTTCATCACAGTTTAAGCTTGGAAAAACCTTATTTCAAATTCGTTTTATATGTGGGTATGCGTTTGTGAATCATATATGGCATGCGTGTTGTTGTTCATCTTCTCTTTTTTATTATCATCTCTCTCCTATATAAATACAAGCAGGATGCATTATACTTCAGAAGATAAATTTAGTAAATTAGGAAAGGAAGTGATAGCGTCGACTAGCTCTTATTTGTAAAATCATTTGAACACAATTTTAAGAAGTTTGAATCATTTTTGTTTTGAATAAAAATTTTTAAAAATTCAGCCCTCATTATTTATTCAGAAGTTTATTGATAAGACCTTCTTGTTCATTTGAACAATATATTTACAGCTGGCAAGGCTTTACAAAAAAAATAAATAAAACAAAAGTATTCAATTAAGAGTTAAAATATAAGGTTCAACTAAATTAAAAGTGAATCGGAAAAACTAATCCTAAAAATCCAGTTTTGTGCTCTATCAAAGTGGTCAGGATCCGCCCCATAACTCCTATGATATGATATGGAGCAGCTGAAGAGGTATGTTTATAAACGGTTATTAATTAGCAGTTTACTATGTATTTTTATTTTTAAAGTTTGATTTTGGGACAGAGTCGATTGACAAAAATTCGTAATTTTTAGGTGTTTTAAACTAGGGCCTCTTACCTGCTTGTGGCAAATTTATATTTTTATTTATTTCGATCTATACATTTTATTAAACGGTTTACCAAAAATATTATCGTGTCCCATTTGCACAAATAAAGTTGTTCCTTATAGTTTTCATTGAGAAAATAATTAAAGAGCAACGGTATTTTACGCTGAATAACAAAATCGTAGTTGTTCACTAACTCATCTTATACAATTTTTGAAACAATGCCAAAACACGTTAAAACAAAAGAGAAAGAATAAATTGTTGCAAAAATTTTCAAAACTAATATCCTCCGCAGCTCGAGTCCACATGCGTGGACAATGCGACAATCCGCTCTTAAAAATTTCAAGAACAAGTTACAGTCATAAAATTGGTTTTCCATAATTGTAGACACTTGTAGCTATCTTATAAAACTATCTTTTCTTTGTTATTGTTCACCGAAATTTCCCAGGATGGCAGGTTTTACACCAAAAATTTTTTGCGAAAAATGGAAAGGTTTGTAGCCGTTTTTTGTTCTTTGTTAAAAATATTATTAATATTCAAACTTCACAGAGGTACTAATTAGGTCATATGTTTGCCATATTGATAGAAAAAATAATTAAATTACGTTAATTTCTTGATGGTGACCGAGGTGAAAAGGCTAAAATGTAAAAAATTAAACAGGAAATAAAATGTTTGCAATATGCTGCAACAAACTCTGCATAAATGATAGCAAGAATTAGAAAACTTTAAACTTTTCAGTTAAAGCTAGACAGTAAAGTAAATACATTTAAAATTTTGAACTAAATACACATAATGTCGTTCGCAAAGTTGGTGTTGGTTATTTTTGCTGGAGTAGAAATGTTTTGAGGGACTGTGGTTCGATATAATATTTATCATCCGACTTCAGAAAGTGTTTCGAATTGAAATTTTTTTATATTTTTTATTTTGAAAATATTTATAATGTCTTTTAGAAGATATCAATCTTTTTTCATACTGAAAATAAATTCTAAAATTGTGAATGAAATCTTGCAAGTTTTTTCAGTATTTTTTAAAACACCGATATAAAATAATTTTATTAAAAGAAGCATTCACATTGACTGATTACACTGGCTACTTATAAAATAAAGAATTTTTTTTAAATTTGAACATAAATGCAAATCATAACGGTAATATTATGTAAATGCAAATCATAAATGTAATATTATTTCTGTCTGATATTTTAGACAACGCAAAGCGATCGTTTATTTATTTTCAATTTTTGGTTTTTGCTAAAAGTTATTTCTCGTTTTCAACTTTGGAAATCTTCACCTTCATTATTTTTTTCATTAGTCATATATAAAGTTCCTGCAGATCTGAAGAAGTTAAAACTCATCCATTAGCAAAAATTCATCTATGTGCGAAAAAAAAATTAATAGGCGCTATAAAAAAGAATTAATTGATTGCTTAGTGAAAATAATTTCAAAAATTTACAACCTGCCAAACGTTAAAAGATGATGTAAAGTCTTCCAATTATAATATTATTTCAATTGAGTTTCGGAAATTAACAATGAAATTAAAAAATTTTTCATCTCAGGTTCAGCAACGGTTATCAAGCAAATATGTTCAAGTGAGTTTTTAAAATTTTAATTGAAAATTACAATACTCAAAATTTATCCCAGCTTGCTTCTTACTCTAACATTATTCAAATGTTGGTTGGCCTGGTCCAGTTTCACAGTGCACGCTGTAACCGGGTTTGAATGCGTCACATCCACGCGTATCACATGCTTTGTGTATGATGAGTCGTTTAACATGCATTCTTATACGTTGTTTGTTTATATGTATAGTGCATTCCACTGAACCTTGGAAAAGTTTTTAAGACTTTTACGACCTGAAGATAACTCGATAGAGGCTCTCTACGAATTTACAATATAATAACCATTTTTTAACATTTTAATGTTTAACAGCAAGTTTTAATAAATGATTTTGATGCAGAGAAGCTGTTAGAATTATTTAACCCACAGCGTAAAACTCAAAAATTTTTAAATTTTTATGCGTATGCTGGTGAATAAATTTTGTTAGAAACAAATTTATTAGATCTTATTTTTTAATGAATAGAAAGATTGGAAAATATTAAAATATTCGTAAACTATAATTGTACATTTTTTGTTTTTAAATCTTCTTAATTACGTAATAATCATAAAATTATCCCATAACAGAGCCAATTTGGTGGCCATGATTGCGTTGCATTTATACATCGTTAGGGCTTTGCCGAACTTTTATAACTTCGGACCACAAGCGCGAGATTCTGCTCTGGCGAAAGAAGATGATGCCTTCACAACGATCAACATCAATTTCGAATTTCCTTTTTTCGGTAGAAGCTTTTCGCAGATCCACATCAGCACGAACGGAATTATATTTTTCGGAGAAGGTAGCAGAGACTACAAGCCAATACCTTTTCCACTTGTTGGTATGCTCTCAGTTGCAGCTTACTGGGTTGACAGTGATCCAAGGATGGGTGGTAATATTTATTACAGAGAAGAATTTGATCCCGTTATTTTGAATCAAATAACTGATTATATAAGAAACAAATTTGTTCGGTTCAAAAAATTTACAAGTACTTGGGCTCTGATAGTGACATTTAACGACGTACCTAGATTTAGATGTAGTGGAAATGAATGCCTCAACGTTGTCAAACATCAAACTATCCTAACAAGCAATGGAATACATTCGTTTGTAATCTTTCTTTATAACAGATTGGATTATTTTGGTGCTCAAATTGGATTTAATGCAGGAGATGGAAAAAGATTTGTTTTAGCTGATTACTCAAATACGGACAAAATATCAAAATATGCTTTAGAAAATAGCAATGTTGGTTTTCCTGGAGAATGGTTGTTTTCCATAAGTGACGAAATTACTGCAGCATGCAATTTATTGGGAATGTTGGAAATATATCCTAAAAAGGTGCTTTATTATGGACAACAAGAAGTGTTCATAAGTGGACCTTGTTTCGATGAGAACACAAAAGAAGTTGATGTAAAAATTGGAAATGAAGATACAATTAAATGTCAAAAGGAAGAAAATAAACTCAAATGCTTGACTCCGTATTTTGATTCTAATGTAAAAATTCCTGTCATACTAGAACACAACAATGTGGTATACAAAAGCTTTTTTCTATCATATGATACTGGAGATTCACTCGTGCAAAGTTCAACGTATGCCACGTTGAACAAGGCTGCTGGAGATGATGCCTATTTAAACTGGGACCAAACATTATTTAGTGACGAAATAGTAATATTAAGAGGAATAAAACAAATAGTTAAACGCAATGCAAATGGCTTTTTAATTTATGAAAAAGTAAAAATTCTTGAAAAAATCAGTAACACTGGGAGTTATAAACTAACAACTGTGTCAAGCGAATTTAACGACGAATCAGTTCGTTATTTAGTAAATATTGAAAGACATGTTTTTGAAATTGTGAAAGAATTTTCATCATCCACATTGAAAGATGAAAGTTTGTGCAGCGACTGGTTTAAGAAAGAAAACCATACAACTGAAATAAATGAAATAAAAGAACGAGAATCAAAACGAAATCCTTGCCAACCAACTGTACCAGACAATTTTCCAGATCAACTTTCAGGAGGTTTCATAAGAGATAGTTCATGCAATCCATCTTTCTTTGGTAATATCGGTTGCCGAATTTTTCACAAAGGTGCTAAAGGGTGTTATAGAAGTTTGAACAATCCAAACAACATAGCTGTCCAATGTTGCTACAATAGTGACAACATGTTAATTGTTGGTCCAACAGGTGGAGGAACATTAGATTTATTTGATTCTCAAAAATCTAAATGGGAACATTTCAAAATTGATGTCTGGCCATACTTACAATGTTGCATATTTTCTGATGAGTGTGACAAATATTATGAAAAAAGACCTTCCGTTGATTCCAGGCATTACGTTCCACCACGTCCTGTGCCGGCCCGAGGTGATCCGCATTTCACTACGATGGATGGAACTTCTTACGAGTTCAATCCGGTTGGAGAATTCATTTACTTGCAAGTACCAAACACCACCGTGCAAACGAGAATTAAACAATACGTAGACAAGAACAATGTACTCAAACCAGCGAGCTATTTTGCAGCGTTTGCCATAAAAATTTACGACTTGTCTTTACAGATTGAATTTACCGCAAAAAATAATTTACAATTGAAAGTTGATGGTGTGATTTGGGACGAGGAATCGTTATCTTTACCAGAAGTGAATGCAGTAATCAACCCCACCCTCATCAGCCTTTACACAATAACTGGACTCAGTTTTCAGTTTTATAGTTTGAATGATATGCTTCATGTTATAGCAGCTTTACAACCCAACATTAAAGGACAAGTCTCTGGTTTAATTGGCAACTGGGATGATGATCCGTCGAATGATTTCATGTTGCCCAATGGAACGTGGATTCCAAATACATCCTCACCAGAGGACATTCATTACATATTTGGTATGTCGTGGGCTACAACCGAGAAGACAAGTATTTTCAGCTATCCTGATGGTTTGAAATGGAGTGATTACCAGAATTCATACTTTGTTCCATTCTTTGGTCAGCCATCAAACTCGTTCTCTCAGTGTGGCAACAATTCTGAATGTATATTTGACGCGTTCGTTACGGGAGATGTGGATGTTGGACTGACGAACGTTCATATTGAAGAAACTATTAATAGCCAAATTACGGAATACCAGCATATGCAAATAACCTGCAGTCCCAACATACACGTTGCCCATGCCAATGTCAACGCCGAACACAATAGTGACTACACTCAAGTTGACTACTCAATCGTATGTGAGCCTGGCTACATGTTGAGTGGAAAGTCTTCTGTGAGTTGTGTCGAAGGGAAATACTCAAACGAATATGGAAGCTGTGTTTTACATACTTCTTCATCTTTGTACACACTGTTGTACGTAATCATTGCTGTTGTTTCAGTAATTTTATCCATCATTTTCATGAAATATGGGCATTTGCTATTTCGTTAACTATTTCGTCAAACTTCTCTTGAGATCTTGTTTCTCATCAACGGTGGCATCAAAGATGACTCAACCACTAACGTAATTATTTAATTAATTTTTTGTTCAATATAAATGATAATTGCACTTGCACCTGAGATCTGTATATCTTAAAGAAACAAAATAAAGTTGAAGAATTGTTGATCGTTGCTTTGATGATCGAAAACTAAAAATTGATATTTTTAATGAACAAATAGTATGAACTTGATTAAAATTAGTTTTTTTAGTAAACGATAACGTTTTTTCACTTAACAATTGAACTTTTTATTTTTATATGCTTCTAATAAAAACTTTTTAATTGTTTTCAAAGCATAAAAATTTTATTTTTTTTTCAGCAAATGACACAACCCGCCTGCGTGCATTAATTTTTATTTTCAGAATTCGAAAACTTTTAATACTGCTATGGAAGTTGTGCTACTTTAATATTAAACAGTTATTTGATATTTCAAAGATATTTAATTAATATTTTTTTCAACGGACCGAAATTTTGTATTTTTTTTTTTAATTCAGAGGTGGGTAAGTTAATGTCGGGTAATTAGTATTTATAGTTGCTAACAACGCCTGAAATATATTTTTATATTTTTATATATCGGTTATACTTAGTTGTTCGTCGCAATAAAACTTTTTGTAAAAAAAGACCTGAAATACAGAGGTGAACAGAACACCTGGAATGACGAGACGGTGACGATGAGCAATCAACTAACAGTTTTAAGATCAACCTTGGAGAAACAGGATATTAGGGCAGAGTTAATTGACTGTGGCTCTCACACAGACGCTAGTCTACTGAATCACTATAAACCATGTTATGTCATGTTATGTTATGTTATATGTTATGTTATGCTGTGCTATGTTATGTTATGCTATGCTATGCTATGTTAGAGAAATACATTGCGTAGCAAGTTGTTTCTGTGATTAAAATGATAAAATAAAAAATGAAGATGGTTATGGATTGACAATGATAAAAATGATTATGACAAAATAATGAAAATATTACAAGTGTAATATGTTAACGTTGTTATAATTGTTAGTTTTATGTTACGCATATGAGCTACCTTCTAAAGCGATAAGAACCTAACTTACCGCAATGAAGAATGATCTATAATTGAAAGTTAATGCTTTGTTTTTCGATGAGGAGTCGTTAACTTCCCAGGAAGTGCAGCTATGCAACAACACGCTATCAGCCTCCACGCAATACAACTGAACAATCCTCCGTTTTAAAAATTTAATGACGTGATTCATATTCCAAAAGGCTTACAACCCAGAAAAGTGAATATATGTTTAATTAATAAAAGTTGTGGCTATTTTACGGTGGTAGTTAAGATTTTTTAAAATAAAATGCTTTTGAAACTTAGTTTCAGAATAATTTGATACGATAATTTCTTAACAAATAGGATTGTTTTAAAGAAACTTGAAATCTTATATGTGTTTCAACTAAAATGTTCTGGCTCTGGCGAATAAATTTTAAATAGCATAACATGTCGTTTCTATGCCTCCAACAAGTTATACCTCTCAAATTAAAAAAAAGAATAATTAATAGAGTAATAGTAATAACAAAAAAGAAAAATAATAATTAATAAATTAACTACATTAAAATAAACTGCATTAAAATAAACCCAAATAAATCAAATTACATCTATATAATTATTGAAGTATATGCATGAAGTCACATAAATGAATACGTATAAATGAAATAGTTAATTAATCCATGAATTCACGACTGTATAGAAACAGATCTATACATATATAAACATACCTACATTTATACACATATATTCACACAACACACACACATAACCTGGGATTTGTTTTTAGTAATAACATGTCTTTTGGTAATAACATGTCACAACAACCAGGGCAGTTTCGAAAGAATGCTCTGGACAATTGACTAGGCTTAGGCTCATCAAACGATCTTTAAACAAGAATACTTTTCAATGTCTTGTTCATTCCTTTATCCACTCAAAAATAGACCACTGCAATAGTTTATATTACGACCAGTCTGGTGTAAATATGTCTAGACTGTAGTTGGTTCAAAATTGGGTTGCAAAGTTGGTTTCAGGTGGCCTTGAATACGATCAAGTTAAGCCAACTCTTTTTGCTTTTCACTGGATTCAAAGAGTTATTTTCAAGATATGTTTAACGGTTTTTAAATGTATTAAGAGAGTTGCCCCTAAATATTTAACTGGCATTCCTAGAACAATGCCACTGCTGAGTCAAACATTGCACTCTGACAATTCAGGTTTACTGTTTGTACCTGACACAAGCTTGGCTTTTGGTTGAAAAGAATTTATCCGTAATGGGTCTTGCTGCCTGGAATGATTTGGTTAAGGACCTTCGTGATCCTGCGTTGTCTGTTATTCAATTTCGTAAAAGGTTGAAACACCATCTTTTTGTCCAAGCTTACACGTGCTAATGTCTTTCTCTCTCCATTCTTTGCATTGCCCAGCTAAAGTGCTACATAATGTACTGCATTAGCGTTTCTGAGATTATTTTATTGGGCGCTTAAAAACAAACTAATAATAAAAATAATAATAATTATTATTATTAATTATAATATCCAATTTAAATATGCAGTTATAATATCCACTTTATAAAATGCAATTATAATATCAACTTTAGAGGTGTAGATGCGGAAGAAACGTTCAGATATTTGAGGATGGAAGAAGCGAAAATGTTGATGGCCTCTGTAGAATGTGTCACAAGCATATTGAAAGCATTAGCCATGTCATATCTGGATGTACGGTATTGGCACCAACTGAATATACTAAAAGACACAATCGAGTTGCAAGCTATATCCACTAGGTGATATGTAGGCAGGTTGGATTAGAGACATGTGTAGAATATAAACATGAACCGAAGAATGGAACAAACTATGTCAATGGTCAAATTTTATGGGACACGCCAATTATAATAGATAGAAAATAGAAGCAAAGAGACCAGATATCATTGTCCAAGATAAAAACGAAAAAATATTTTTTAGTTATTCCTATAGTAGTGGGAGCACTAGGAGCAGTCTCTAAAAATTTAGAAAAAACTTCAAATGAATTTCCGGGAAAACTAGCTCTGACCGAAGCTCAAAAATAGCATTATTAGGGACAGCGAGCATAATAAGAAAAATCCTCGGATGAAGCTCTTTGGGATCCAGTTGAATCCCGTATTCGTCAATGACCAGTATTAAAAACCAAGCTGTAAATACTGGGATAATAATAATAATAATAATAATAATAGAAACTTTTTCATTTCAACCAAAATCGTTAAAATTAAAGAAAATATTAATTAAAAATGTAATAATGTTCAATAAAAACCAGAATGCTCATTATCTCATTTCGATCTTCTGATATTTATTTCTCCAGGTTTTTTTGTTAGTGAGATTTTGAAAAAAAGGAAGAAACATACGAAAATCCAGCGATGTAAACATATTAGGACAACATGCTAATATTTCGTACACTTCAAAACGTTAACCTTTTTTCATACTAATCTTTTACGCAAGTGACCTTACCAAGAACTGTCTTGTTATTGTTTCATTATTTCCTTATTCCTATCCACCTAACACTCATATGCACCAATTTGATAAAAGTTTACACAAAATAAAGTTAAAATTATTAATAAACCATTGGTTTATTTATAAATTCAAAGTAATTAATAAGTTAGCGTAGTAATTAGAAAAATATATTGCACTTAGTTTCACGCAGTTTGCAGTTAGCTGGTTTGAACGCAGCCGCGCAAAATTGTTTACATCTCAAAGATAAATAAACTGGGCCGTGAACAGCCAAAATGAGTTGTATATGTGTTAGCATGTGCTAACATTTTAAAAGATATGTATTATTAAAAATTATTTTAAAATATTATTAATTTTTAAATGGAGTAATCAATTTTAAGTGCATTTTTACTAATTATAATTGCTGCTATCTTCTATGTTTTCTGTTCGTAGAAGTGTTTTTACACTTTCATGTTTCTAAGTATTGAAAAAATTTAAATATAGAATAATCTAATAATAATAAAAGTTGGATGATTTCACTAGTAGTTGGATCATTATCATAACAATTTAAATGCAAACGTATTTTATTATGAACACTTTTTAACATTCATTTGAAAATGATTTTAATTAAAAATGTTTTTTCTCATTGTATCTCATACCAGGAAAAACATTCTTCAATAAAATTTTCTTATTAGCATATTGGTAAATAGGTGAGGAATAGTTGGCAGTGCTTCTTTTTCCAGGAAGATTTTGTTCCAGTCTGAGGAAGTTGCTTATATCTTCTTGATTACGCGACCATGAGTTCGAACTCGTTAACAAGGTTTTGAAATGATCTACCTGCTGTTTTAAATACTCTAGAACAAATTTTAAAACATGGAGAGTTACATAATTTCTGTTATCTCTTGCTGATAATTCTAACGAATCTCTGCATTCCGAATCAAAAATTTCGTCAATGGACTCCATAAAATATTCGGTGTACACATCAGAGCTAGGAAAAACAACTATGAGATTGCAGTAGATTTTGTAAATGGCTTGTTCCTGTATGCTAGAAAAGTCTCTTGTCAGTTCTTTGTTCCAGTCTTGAACGTCTGCCTCGTCGACTTTTGCCTGCTCCAAATAGGAATTGATGTGTGCCAGCATGGGTGCAGCGGTCTCCAGTACCGACAGCATCTGCAGTTTTCAATCGAATGTTAAGGTTATTCATGATGATGAACAATAAAATACTAAATTGTACTATTTCATTAAAAATAAGAAAGATAGAACATAAGACTTACTCTGTTTGACGTACCGTGTTTCCATGTCTCCATCTCGGCCTGTGTTGGAATGTCACTCAATGGACAGCCATTGAATAATCTTAACAAGCATTCAGAGGTCCTCTCAGCGAAAGCACAATTTTTCAAACTTTTGGCATGTGTGTCACTGTTGCCAAAACGATCCAAAACCTAATTTGGAAAATATAAAATCATACAAATAACACGTGGATTCATTGTTATGAAACCAAATATTTAGTACAATTTTAGTAGCCAGTCTGTTGACAGCATTCTTTGCGTCTTGGATGTTTTTGTGGAGTGTCTTGAAGGAGTTGACGTAATGAACGTGGGTGACGGGTCCCTGGTTGTCGTTGTAGTCGTTGCAACTACACTCCCACTGAGGGCACTGCTGGTAGTCGAAGGACGTGCCGCCCTTCATGTGCAGGGCGATCTGCAGCAGCACTTTATTAAGTTTTTTATACGTTTTATATGGTGTCATACATTTCATTTACCAAATAAATAATTGTTTAATTAAACATTTTTTAATTTGTAATTAACATCTAGAAATTGCTCACCCAATGAGTAAAACTTCATCTTAGCAAAAACTTTTATTTAATAAAAGTTTTATAAAAGTTTTATCGAAACACTGAAAAATTTGACTTCGTTTGCCCGTATTTAAAAGAAATTTCTATGGAGTAATTTGAGAAGTTGGGAGAAAGCAGCAATTTTTCTGGTCATCGCTGGTCACTGCATGCAAATTTACTTCTCACGTAACGCTGTTATTATCGAATGGAGTAATGAAAATTAAAATTAGAAATTCTTTGACCCCATAATCTGTTAACTATAATTTCTAAGTATGTACTAAGTATGTAATGAAACTGACACTTTAATTAACCTAATTTTTATATCAATTTCAAATGTATCATTCAAAACTAAATTACACACACACCTTGTCGACAAAATTTAAAAAAAAGTAGATTGAAATGAAATAGTTTGAATGATTAATTTGCCAACCATTTTATTTTCAATTTGCTTTCAATTAGTTTATAACAGAAAATAAATAAAACTGAAAAAATGTGTAATTAATTTAATGTCAACATTATAACAATTTCTTGCCTTGTACACTCCATTCTTTGAATTAATTCTGTCATAGAAGTAGATCCGACATCAGTTTTCTCTCGTTGAGTTGAAGCAGAAATTCCCGACTCACTGACAGCAACAACTTTATGCTGGCGTTCAAGTGTGGCTGAGCACTTTCAGTAGCATCTGCGTTCGACTGTTTTCAGAATCAACTGCAATTGCTAGTGTTAAAAAATTGTCAGTATAATTATTAACTGATAAATGAAAACCAAACCTCAAATACTGTTAAAATTGTGGTTAATCAGTTCTCAGAAAAAAATTATAATTTGCTTAGCCTTTTGATTTCTTCGGCTGTTCAAAATATTGTCTACCCGTCTTGTTATTAGCGCGTGCAAGTTATCAGTTTGTTCTGATCTACGAGGCTAGATTTGATATGGAAACATTCTGCGGTAAGCATCAATGGAACCAAAACTGAACTGCTTGCTACTTGACCATTTCAAAAAGATACCACAGTTTATAAAAACTATCTCCCACGTCTCACCGTATTCTTTCTCACCTGATTGGCTTTTTTTATATAAATTCTAAATTGTAATTCATTTAGTTCGTTAATTTAGTTTATTATTTTGTGTTTTTTCAACATCAAACTTATTAACATTTAGGTAATTTATTTCTTTATTTTTGTACTCGGTTAATGCGTGCGTCTTCAATGTACATTTGTTTATATACATTATTTATTTCATGTGTTTTATTGAAAGCTGGCTTTGGTTCAAAAAGCTTTGAGAGACTAAATGGTCGTTAAAAAATACTTCTAAGGTCATTAAAACAAGAGTTCGATCGGCTGGAGAAATGAGTGGAAAGCAATTTAAAAAAAACTGAAAATTCATCAGATTTTTAATGAAAATGATTGAGCTATATGAAATGACTTCAAAAACGGTTCAATCGATGCTCGTTTCTTGCGCTGGTAACTTAAAAGCTTCATTTACATGAAAATGTAGAATGAAATACGTGATAACTTTCACTCAACAGTTGATTCACTTGGCAGGATGTGCTGTGCATTGTTCTCTGAACGTATCTTCGAGTCAATCTGTTGACGGAACATTTTTGCCAAACTTTTTTAAATTAAAAAAAAGTATTATATTATTTTTATATTATTTTTAGAATCGCATAGTAAATAATTTTTTAAAAAATTAAAAAAACTTTTTATATCCTGAAAAAGAGATTGTGTTGAGTTAATGTTTCGACGAGTTTATTGAAGGAAGAAAGAAATTGCTTGCCTGGTGTTTGATTGGTGCCCATCCATGCATCTAACTTTCCATTTATTATTTACAGCTAATTTGCATAGACTAATGATAAGTTCAAAAATTGAAAATCACATTCCTGCCTTGCTTGCTATCCTCCAAGTTACAAACAAACGTTTAAACACAGAGTCATTTGATATTGAATATTTTAAAAACAGCTTATTCTTTAAAAAAATTCGTTTTTAAAAATAAAACAAAACTAGAAAACAAATTTTGGTAAAAATGAAAATATAAAACACCATAAATAACATGAAAATAATTCAAGCGAGAAATTTTTAAACATAGAAGCTACCAAACGAATTGAAAAAAATTCATGAAATTAAATACCAAATGCTTTCTTATTTTTTATGGTTTAGTTTTTGTTACTAATGTAAATTTTTAAAACATTTAGTTTTAATTTTCACGTTCATGATAAATTTTTTAAAAATTTTTTCAAATAAAAAAAGGATTGTTTCGTATTCTGTCACTGTTTCTAGTTGACCTGCCATTGAACGACAACCACCTCGATACTTAACGCTTTAATATACTCAATTTTCAAACAATATTCAATAGACATTTTTTGAGCTATGAAGTAAAAAATTTGCAAAATCTGATGTTACAATCGGTTAATTACATAATTTGTGGCAAAAATTTAATAGTGTCTAATATGAGATATTTCTCGGCAACAGTTGGCACGCATGAACATGGATAGCGAAATATTGAAGAAGCGATGTAACAGTTTGTAGATGCGACGTTGAGACATGGAGGTGCCTGCCTGGCCGGATGTATTGATTTCCTCAGCATATCGATACATCGATTTTATGAGACTCTCTTGATTGCGTCTCATCTTATGTCTTTGTATGCGCGAAAATGTTTTTCTTGCAAACAAACAAACAGACAAACAGACTAACAAACAAACAAAAAAAAACAAACCAACAAACAAACGAGCGAACAAACAAACCAACAAACAAACCAACAAACAAACAAACATACAAACAAACGTACAAAAACAATCATACAAACCAACCAGCAAACAAACAAACAAACACAAGCAAACACACAAACTAACCAACCAGCAAACAAACAAAGAGATATAAACACAAACATCACTGTTGAACTTCTATGCCAGTACAATACCCCAAAAACAACATTATCAATGTGTGTGCGTGCGTGTCTGTGTATCATTTTTATTACGAATATATCTAAAAAAAATGATAACGATTAAAGAATAATGTTATAAGTATAAACACACACGTGTGTGTATATATATATATATATATATATATATATATATATATATATATATATATATATATATATAAACGTTTGTTTAGAGATTTATTTAATAATATACATAAGAACGTGTTCTGTTATTATTGAATTTTTTCAAAGTTTTTGTTTAACATAACATCAGCAAAATACAATAACAACAATAACTTTAATAATAATAATGATAATAATAATAAAAATAAAAAGAACCGTTATAATTATTATTATTCAAATGAAAAATTAGAGGCAAAATAAATTTTGGCTTATTGTTATGAAAACAGAAGTATGACAATGTTGCTGTAAAAACTTCATTGTATAAACATGGTTATATGGCTGTAAACTGCTATTTTACTATTAATATCTCTAACAGTTTTAGTACCAATTACAAAGTATTTGTGTTGCTGGCGTTGGAATGACTGAAAGTTGTTGCTTTCGTGTTGAAGCAAATCTCGCAGGCCACAGACCTCCGTGAGTATGACGTTATTAATGTACGAAGATCGAAAAGATATCATGCCTGCTAATGAGACGAGCATGACGAAAGGAAACAGAAAAACGAGTTGTTACAATGCAGTGACGTGATTAACCGACGTGATGCAAAATGTGATTTTAATATCTTGGTTTTTGTACATATCTGCCGTTCAAAAAGTAACAACCGTCAAGTATTTTATGAAAAATTTCACTGACTTAACAAAAATTGTGTCACCATCTGACGAGATATCTGTTGGTTGAGAAAAAGAAGTTCTCCAGTGTGAAGATGTTAAACAAGTCATATTTATCATTTGCACACTCACAGTCAGATAAACTTGAGTGTTTCCATTTTAACAATCTTTTAATGGCAGAGGTTGGCATTTCACCATGTAAGTATGAGGAATACGTTTATACATCTGTCAAACCAATAATTATTATTACACAACACATCGTCCCAGTCAGACCTGCAAATTATTCAAAAATGTATATAATGCTATGAAGAAACGGGTTAGGAAATTTAACAAATTTAGTTAAGATATATGTATATATTTATATATATATAAATCCAAATATAAATAGATATATATATATATTTATATGTCAAATCAAATCAAATCAAATATTGTATTTATATAGCGCCAATTATAATTGCTTCTCACCAGCGCTCTCCTTGTATGAAGCATGTTGAAAGCGAAGCTATCATCGGTTGAGATCACTAGGAGTTACCAAATAGGTATGTCTTCAGAACCTTTTCTAAACTCAGCTAATGATAACCCAGATATACGTAATTTGATAGATAGGCTGTTCCAAAAAAACAAGCTCAGCAAATGCAAAATCTCTATCTGTTGTTTCCAGATTCAGGCTTAGACACCCATGTGATGACGTAGATGAAACTCTAATACATTTATCTTCTAAATATTTCGGAGTCAGACCATTCAAACTTTTAAACACCATTACACCCAACTTGAACATGATTTTTGTATAAAACGCAACCAATGCAACTCCTTTAGAATTGGTGATGCATGATCAAATTTTAATTTGCGGTATGTCATTCTAGCAGCCTGATTCTGAACCATCTGAAGTTTAGACAACAGTTTATATATTTACATATATATTGAATTAAGACTGTCAAAAATGCAATTATTGATGAAAATCACAGCGTACTGTGATTTTCATCAATATACCTATATATACATACATATATATATATAAATATATATATATATATATATATATATATATATATATATATATACATATATAAATAAATACAATTCATCTGGCAGTACACTCTAAAAAGTTGGTACTGAAACTACAAAATTTCTATTACCAATTATCAAATTTGTTTTTGTACAAATAATTTATTTGAACTGGAAGACCTCAACTGTCCATGAGTTCCCAGGGAGGACATTTCTACGCATTTATCCGACAGGTACCTAGAAGCCAGATCATTTAGGCGCTTAAACACCATTACCCCCAATTTGTACAGAATTTTTTGCTTTATAAGATTGGAAAGGCATGGTCAAACCGTAAACCACTAACAATAATTTTTGCAGCCTGATTCTGTGCTACCTGTGACTTCGAAATCCATTTATCTGATATTCCATATAGAAAACAGTTGCAATAATCCAATCCAGTGTTGACAAATGCGTTCACCAGTGACGTGAGAGCGTTTTTGTTCAAAACCTTTCTTATCTGACGATTCTGGAACAGTTGGAAAAAACAATTCTTAAACAATTCTAAAAAATGTTGACCCATTGCCAGTTTTGAATCGATTTTATAGCTTAAATTTGTAACAGAGCTTGAATATTTAATTCTAAATTAACCAATGTTAACTGAGGAAGATTTTACCTGTGATATTAATCAATATAATCTGTGCTTTTGTTGGGTTTAGCTTTAGTCTGTTTGGGCCAAGCCAAATACTAACATCATTTATGCATTCAACCAATGAACTCATAGTTAGAGGTATCGTTAGCTGAGATGAAGCACCTGGTATCTGAATATCGTCAGCATATAAGTAGAAGTGGAAGCAGTGGATATTAATAATCTCAGCTGTGTACAAAAGAAACAGAATTGGTTTCAAGACAAAACCCTGAGGGACTTTAAATCTGAGAACAACTACATCAGAAGGATTAATATAAAACTTCACTTGCAGCGTTCGTCTATTGAAAATGAATCTAATCCTTTTAACAAAATGCCTGATACTCCGTACAAATGATTCAGTCTATACAATAATATGCGATGGTCAACAGAGTCGAAAGTTGAACTCATGTTAAGTAATGAGAACATAGTAACTTTCTGGTTGTTTATTCTGAGTAAAAGTTAGAAAAAACCTCTACAAGTGCAGTTTCAGTTGTATGTATGTATGTATATATGTATGTATTTATGTATGTATGTATGTATGTATGTATGTATGTATGTATGTATGTATGTATGTATGTATGTATGTATGTATGTATGTGTGTGTGTGTGTATGTGTGTGTATGTGTGTATGTATGTATGTATGGATGGATGGATGGATGAATGTATGTATGTATTTATGTATGTATGTGTGTATGTGTGTATGTATGTATATATGTATGTATGTATGTATGGATAGATGTATTTACGTATGCAAGGCGATGTATGTACCAATATGTCGGATAGTATTGGCCTTTTAGTTGACGAACTCCACACTTCACTTAGTTCATTCTGTTTGATTTGTTCATTGTTGAGCTGTTCTGTAAAAGTTTTGTAAAATATTTTTAAAAAATTTCAATTAATTTTGCTTAAAAAACTTGATAAAACAACTTTAGCAAGTTTTATTTCAGCTTTTGATCAACTGAAAGCACTCATCGTCTGAACACATAATTTAAACATTTCCTACCACTTGTCAACTTTAAATTTTTGAAAAAAAACTGTTGAACGTGGGAAGAAAAGTTGACCAAGGGATGGATGGAATGAAACGTCACCAGATTACTGCATCACTGCCTAGAAATTCCGGAGATTCAAAAAGAAGTGTTGACATTTTGGACGAAGATGACAAGTTTTTGAACAGTGGAAGCAACTTTTCCCAACACAAACAACGCAACAAGTACCGATACTTTCATGATGACAATCATGCGAGTGTGGTTGGAGTTAACGATAACAAATTGTATCGACACCAAATTATGTCAGCCCAGAAAAAGTTGGCCCAACAAACTCAACAAAGTTTTCCAACTTCAGCAACGGTTCGTAAAACGAGATCCAATAGTTTCCACGAAGATCGTGACCAATCAGATGATCTGACGTCAGATCCGGAAGTAGCTCTAAGGTTGTTGCAACATCAGAACAGAAGACAGCGTTGCAGGCTAAATGAAATTCAACAAGAAAATTTCATGCTCCTAAAACTGAGCAGCACGAACAACGACAAACCTTCCAACCTGAACAGGAGAAGCGATTTTTTTTCAGCGTTGAACCAGCACCTCGGCTGCAGACTGGATCTCCTCAACAACAAGATCGACTCTCAACAGTTGGTCATTGACTCCATGAATGAGCAGTACCAGCAACAACTCGCCATGCCCAACCATCTGAAGCACTTCGATGTTGCCATGTTGCAGAAACTCTTCAACGAACAGTCCGTCATCGATCAGGTTAGTTGATGCTCTAATTTTTTTAAATTTGCTACTGAAATTATCTGACCAGTATATTTTATTGCACGAACATTCAATTTGTTGCTGAACGAAATTGCGTTAGAAAAAATGTTGTTATGTTCTTTAAATTTAATAAAAAAATTTATCTTTTGAGATAATTGTGTTTTTTATTTTTATGGTTATGCGAAATTTACGACTTTCGGTTGTCTGGAGTTTCTTTCGTAGAGCGCAATTACTTAACAAACTTTCAGAAATTGCAGAAACAAAAGTTTGATGCGCGCATTTCAAAATATTTCCCCTGAGAAATATCAAAAATATGTCGATGAACCAGTAAAAAAATTTATTTTACTTTTAATTTTTTGGAAAAGTATTCCAGCTAAAAAATGCATTATTACATTTGTCAATTTTTAATTCTCTATAAATTATCTATCTTGTTGTACAAAAAGCTGATCGTCTTTTTAGTTTCGTAAATTCAACTGTCAATAGTTTAAGAACTATTCATTTTCTATTAATAAGATTGATGAAAGGTTGTTCTTATAAACGAAGAAAGTCAATAAATTTGATTTTAGTGTAAGAAGTGTATTTGATAAATTTGAAGGAATTATCGAGTTAATTTTGTATGGGCACGATTTATACTGCTCAAAATGAAACAGAAAGTTATCAAAATCAATAAAATAGAAAGCAAGCCTCGCAACAACAAGCGGCAGTGCACACACATACACACACACAAACACACACGCATGCACATACACACACACAGACACACACACACACACTCTCACACACGTACGCGCACACACAGTGCAACAAAACCAGCAATTTTGTTCGGACCATCTTCAATTCATCGGAGAGTAACTATTTTTCTTCTATCTTGACTTCTCTTTACAAGTGTTTTGTGTTTTGAATGGAAAAATGTATTTAGCACATTGCATTGTTCCATGCAAGATGCTGCTGTCATCTCATCTATTATTAAAGTTTATTCTCTCTCTTATTCGAATGAAGCCAATTTTCCAAGTTGTCGTAAAGTTATTTTTAAATTTTTTTTTGATAAATTCAAAAATGCATAAATTTTGTGATTTGATCTATTTTACAGGACTCTTGAGTTTTTTTTATGAACATCCATAAACACTTATATTTTGAAACATTGTTTTTTTTTATTTTTAAAAAGGCTCTTAGTTTCAGCCTCACTGTTGATGATGGGTTTCATAACAACTTCAACTACGTTAATATCATGACGTAACCTTTCACTTCAATCTTCCCAACACCCGGAGCTTCATGATCAAAAAACTATCATCACATACAGCTTTCATCTTCAGTTATCATCATCATAATCACTACCACACCATCGTTATTCTTGTTAGTTTTTTTATCTGCTCCTCCCTACAGCAACTTCAACTTCAGCAACTTCAACTTCAGCAACTTCAACTTCAGCAACTTCAAGATATTTTTCAACTTTACCGTATCCAACCCCTTGTCAAAACGTATTATACATAACTTCATCCGAAAAGAACTTTTGAAAATTAAAATTTTTGATGCTTTAGTTAATATAAAACTTTATATCAACAGTTTCAATTTTCAAGTTATTCAGCTGAGATTAAACATAGCTCATGCAAAAAAGCTCTAAAGAACAAAATCCTCATTCAACTTTCAAATAGACGTCGTTTTTAGGCATAACAAAATTTAAAAATTGTCCGCTATTGAAAAATAAATTAATTCAGTTACTAATTATAACATCACTTCAAATCATTGCCTTATCATCTAATTAAGCAAGAGCCCATCCAATTAACACGAGCAAATTACAGTTGGGAGGAGCAAGAGGCTCAGCACGAAGCCGCTCCCACGTTGACCACTAATCACCTCGCTCAATAAACTGAAGAGTTCAATGCTAATTGAGTATGACATGAGATCTAATTAAGACGAATCCCTCTCCCGCCGCAATCCTTCCTCATCCTTTTGGTCTTCGCCGTCAATCTCGCCTCTGATTAACTGTCGACTGCCCGCCGCTTGCTTCTTTCTGGGAAGAGTTTGTCACGTTTGCACAAGTCAGGCCGAGAAACAAACTGGATTAATTTATTTAGCGTTCAATATTTTTTCTATAAATACTACCAAAAAATTTTAAACATGACTTACAGAAAATAAAAAAAAATAATGACAATGACTCGGACAACTTAATCCCAATTAATCAAATGTATTTACATTTACAGCACCTTATTAATCACATGTACTTACGTTTACCTCACATAGTTCAACAACCACTAAACAATCAATGAACCAACAGTAAGCAAAACACGAATGAGATTTCAAAATAAATCTTTAATGCACGACAGAAAACTTGTCAGGCCGGCTCAAGAAAAGACGAAAAAATTATTTGAATAACCATTCAAAATATTGATAACATATTTTTTAAATATGTATGCACACAAACACTAACATATTTTTCAAAAATGCAAAATAAACATATAAACAGTAGAAACAACATTTGCCGGGCAGTCAACACACACACACCACACACACACACACACACACACATACACACACACACATACACACACACAAAATCACTTACAAAAAATCACAAATACGCATACAAACGCACGTAACAAAAGGCGGGGCACTGGAGGTCAATTAGTTTTATCCTATACATCCCGCTTCATTTGTCCAGAGTGCCTTGATCAAAACAATGGCCATCATTAGCCAGGCCACACACAACACAAACTCATTACTCCTCCATGTACGTATTTGTGTATGTGTGCCTATGTTTATTTATTTATTTATCTATTTATGTATCTGAGTGTCTGGTTGCGTGTATTATACATTTTTCCATTGTCTTATGCGTTCATTAATATGTTAATTCATTTTACAATTGTTTATTTGTTTGTTTTATTCATTGCATAACTATTGCTAATAGTTGTTTGCAAAGTTAAGTATAAAAATTAATTCGACATCTCATGTCATAGAACGAAATTATTTTAAAAAGTGATTGAGTAGCTTACGTAAGTCTGCAAAATTATTCCTCGCCTTCCCGTGTCAATAATGCAATGCAGATGAATGTATGTTTGTTCATTGTGTGTCGTCGTGTTCCTACATAAATAGGCAGCGTATTTTTAAGACCTCTCAACAAAATTTAAAATCGCATGCAGGGGACAGACATAAATAAATTTCTTGCAAATTTTGAGAAAATAATATTAATGAAATAATTTGAATTAAAAAAGAGTTAAAATGAATTTTTCATAACATTGTTGTACTAGAAATTTGCTATTTTAATAAACTGACGCCAAATTTAAAAGTTGTTTCATTGGAAAATAATTTTCAAGTGAAACTAACTTATCTACAAAGATAGAAATTGATATAAACGTATCTGTAACGCAAACCATTTTTCACTACTTAACATGACAACATAATGTAACAAATAATTTTATAGCGATCCAAGAAGACTGAGTGAGTGCCAGGACTACTGTATAGGGCTCCATGTCGACTAACACCACGAAGAGAGCCTGAGTCAACTAATCATATCAATAAGGATGACAATGAAGTGAACCAAGAAATGTTTAGCAGAAAATATTTATAACATTTTTATGGAAACATTCGAGACACTGTATCGAAGAAGTTGAACGTTCAAATTCACAAATGTCTGTCCGCTTTTTTAAAATGACAAAGTTTTTACTTTTTTGCTTTATCGATTAGCGCAACAAAACTTTTACCTGAGCAACAAACGCTGAAAATGTCCTATTTGAGTTTGCTTTGGCACTTCATGTATAAATTTAACAGAAATATAAATAAAAACATATTTAAATATATAAATGAATGAATGAATGGATAAATGAATGAATAAATGAACGAACGAACGAACAAATGAATGAATGAATGAGTAAGTAGGTAAATAAATATTAATAAATGATTATGAACATAAAATTAAACAACTTACAAAAACATAGTAATTAATTTATTTCTATGTTTATTTACTTATTTGTAATATATGCATATAAAAAATGTAAGCATACGAGCAAAAAAATTCTTGATAATGTAATTGTAACGATAATGGCCGTGATAATTTTATTACTTACAAACCAATAAATTAATAAATGATAATCATTTCTAAACCACGTTGGTGCTGTATTCTTTCATTGGCAACCGACCACCCAGAGCTGGCTGATAACAAATCATTGGTTACCCACTTGTTTTGGGGTAAACTTTTTGTTGCACAAAAGTTGAAAGATGCTTTTCATTACGTGCGTACGGATGTTTTTAGAGATTCATTCGAGAGGTTTTGAACCCAACCCACTACTTCCACGGTCCGTGCTAACTCACCAATTACTAATGCATTTTTTAATTTTATTTAGCTAATCTTAAAGTTTTTTAATTGAAAAAAGCACATAAAAATAAACAAATATTGATATTTGCAATACATATGAAACTGACTGAAGTGCTAGCAAGCTCCGAGTACACACAAGTAAGTAAGAATAAAATGAATCGTGTCTTCAATGCTTGGTTGGCTGCCTGCTTTCTTTTAATAAAACGTTGACAGATGTTTTAATTTAGGGAATCAGATATTTCAAATCTTCTCTTGCTTGATTAATTGAGAGGCTTCTGGAATTTATCATCCTGTTCATTCTAAAAAATCATTATTTATCATTCCAATCAGAGACATTTCTCATTTTTAGCCCATTCCCGCTACTTCCATGATGCTTCAACTCTGTATTGTCGATTGTTTAAATATTTCTTCGAATATATTAGAACGTTTGCTAGGTACGTCTGCATTGGTTCATATACTGGCAAAGGTTTTTTATAATCTTAAATGATTTGCAAATTAACAAAATGTACGACGAGCTAAGTTGCTTGTTTGGCTAAGAACCTATAACATATAAAAGTCTCAAAAATAATTATTTTTTAATCTTAAATAATTTGCAAAATAAATTAATAAAATAAATAATTTTATTTAAAATGTCAGCGTTAATAAATTTCAAAACACAAGAGATTTCCATCTTGTGTTATTTTGTTGAGGTGCACAACAACGCACTAACACGGACCAACAAAATCCTCTGCAAACTTGAAATGTGTTTAATTGTTCTGATATTTGTGTTCCCATGCCGAATCTATAAATGCTGCCTGCCTACCTGTGCACGAAACTGTGAATGAAAGAATAATAAAAGTACTTTTAAAAATAAACCTATCAAATATGAACGCTATCTGTAGCATAAGCAAACCTATGTACGCATACATAGAAATAATAGCATCAACAAAATCAACAACAAAAACATCAACAAATCATTGAAACATAACAGACCAATAAATAATATTGAAGAGAGTTCCTGAGCAAACAAACGAACGCCAGCCAGCATGGGAAGCAAATGACAATGGAGTGCGATGACATCAGGTAGGCAGGAACAAGTGAACAAGAATGAGCGATGGACATGCGCATGCACAACTCAACACACTCGCAGCAATAACTCATATACAGACAACAATTTTACAAACGAAACAATTATTAAACACATAGAAAAAGTAAGTGAAAAAAAAAGAGAAAAAGAAAGAGAAAGAAGAGAAAGAGAGAGAGAGAGAGAGAGAGAGAATTCCCCTGTAGTTTGATACAAATCAGTGTCATTGGATTCTAAGTATCATCATCCGGCTCAACTTTGCAAACGAGTGTACTTTCGTAACTTCTCGTACCTCCTTGTATCTTCTCGTATCTTCTTGCCTCTTCTTGCATCTCCTCGTATCTTTTTGCAAGCACATCAGCCTAATTGTTCCCTATTCATTCTTCTGCTCAGCTAAGAAATCTCTACATAAAATTAAGCGGCGGTCGTTTCGACAAATGATGATTTCGTTTTAAATTTCGATGTTATTTTTTTTTTATTCTTAAAACTGTTCACCATGGCAATATATTTTTTTCAAATAAATTTTTTAGAAATTGGTTTGGCAGCATAATATTTGTTGCATAACATTTCTTATGTTTTTTTTTTTCATTCAATGCCCATGATACACAGCTGTTAGGCTTGTAAAATTCAAGTTAACCTAGCCAAAAATTTCTTAAAATAAAATTTCTTTTAAAATACTTAGAACGTTTTTTGTTGGAAACATTCTTTAAAATGTTAAATAGAAGCAAACTCGAATAAAAATTTTAAAATAAGCAATTTTGAAACAGAAAAAAAACAAATGAACAATTGTTATATAATGAAATCGGAATGACGAAGCAGATGCATGTACTGGTTGTCAAGTGGAAGCCTTGATCCCATTTCATTAGGACAGGTTTATTTATTCACTCTTCAACATTTATTGGCAACTTTTAAACTTGACACAACCCATATTTTATTACAACTATTTTTAATAAATCAGGTTCTAACAAAAGTAGAATCTGTTACAACATAAGTGTGTGTTCATGTATGTACACAATCCGTTTCAGTATTATTATTATTTTCTCTTAGATATTCCTCAGAGGTTATGAAATAATTGTTCTGTTGGGCCAGTGCATTTTCAGTTGAACACTGCTGCTCTCCTAATTATTAAACAGTGGATTGAAAAAGCGGAATGTTTTTTGAATATGTGAATATTTCGGTGCTGAATAATTTGGCTTGAGCCAAGAAATTTGGATGTTTCAAAAGCCAGCTAATAACATATAAACCGTTA